TATCTATCTATCTATCTATCTATCTATCTATCTATCTATCTATCTATCAAGTTGGTTTCTGAAATGGCTGCTGCAGCTATTGTTATCCTGCTAATATCTTAAGCATATTTGCCTTATTCAAACTTCACTAAGGAGAGCAAGTAGTTCATTCTGTAAGGATTAATCTTAATCTAATTTAAACAGATTCCTTTTCTCCACTTGCTGTTTTTCATATATAACCTGTAGCTGTATTTCTTCTATAACTGTGTGCTTAATCTGTTATCATTCAAAAACAATGTAACCATAAAAAGCTATCTGACTGCCAAATCAAAGTAAAAATAATCAGAAAGAAGGTTCTATCTTTACTAAATTATACCCATCTTTTTTTTACTTTGTTTTACATATGAAATCTATCACAGAAGGATCTTTAAATATTTCTAGCAACACTATACCTCAGAGAAACACTGAGATATTCAGCATTTATAATTTAATGACGCCCTCCGTACACATTGAACATTCAATAGGTGCTGCATTAATCAAAAGCGATATAAATGCAAACTAACCTGTGCACATGATTCTTCAGGCGTTTTGGCACTGACCGAATAAAGTGCTGGCAGATCTAATCTGTGTACAGCAATTTTTTCAAGAGAATGTAATAAAGCTGGAGCAAGGTGTGAAGTCTGACCTGAATCCCTTTCTCCGGAAAGCAGTAATCTCGGCCTGTAAGATGTGGGCTGGTGATAAGCTGACCTGCAAAAAAAATAATATTTTGTTCAGATCTACAAAGCACTTATCATTACTTCTATGTTTTTACTACATTAGCAGAATATGAATAGCCTGAAATATTTCATTGTAGTATATTTTCAACATTATCTAACCATTTATCAATACTTCGATAGAATCAAAATATTGTTTATAATTTACACACAGAAATTAATGGGAATTACGTTATATAAGCAAAAAGCAAAATGACTAATTCCACATAAAAGACTTGTTCCAGCGGTATTATCCTCCCTGTTCCAGGCAATATAATAATCATAATAAAAACTACTGAGGAATAACCCTGAATTATTTTATCCTATTTTATTTTATACCTTACTCTGTTTTAAAGTGGAAATTCATTGTGGTCACTTCACTTTGCTTTCTGCCTACTGAAATTGACAACCATGCTGTTTCCCTAGAAAAAATTACCCTAAAAGATTTCCTTGAAACACTACAAAGTTTTTTTGGAATCAAAATTCAAATTAAACTTTTATATTAACAGATGAAAACCAGCATATTTACTAGAGAAGTGGTATCACAGATTTTAAGCATGCTACTGATTTTTTAAATTAAAAATATCACTATTCTTATCATAAATCTCCCTATATTTTATTGGTTTCATTATGATTGTAATAAAACTATTCTGCATAAATATATATAGCAAAATAATAAAATGCAGTCTCTGACCTGCATGGAACTTTCTAGACTGTTCTACACAGGTTGGAGTGCCTTCCTATCCCCTAGATTGCTTCCATTGATTCCCAAAAACCTGCAGCACTGTTTTGTTTATTGTTTGTATTCCGAAAAGAAGCCTGGACCAGAGCCATGATCCATCTATGGTTTAAAAAACTTCTCTTTTTTTCCACTGGAAGGGAAGAATATAATTGTTTCCATCTGTTCTCAAGAAAACCTCTGAAGATTTTTTTTCTCAGTCAGAGAATTGGGAGTCTCAACAAGTCTCAGTGCTACAATGCCTCCTATTCATTGAGAGTGGGGGAGTTTTTTAGAATGTTATATAAAAAGCACAAGTAAGGAATTAAGTATAGGAAGTAAACACTTTTAAAAATGGACCTATCTGCTTTGGTTTATGTTTTCCTCAGCTTCTGAAATCAACAGCCTCACAAATCCTTTCACTGGGCAAACATCATATAGGCCTTTTTTTTTTTTTTTTTTTCAGAGAGTTGTCCAACAGTCCCTTTTAAAAATATGTGTTTCTTGCCGGAGAGGGACAAGCCACAAGATTATCTAGAGGTTTGCAGTGAGAAACATTCTGGCATCTGGAAATCGTCACTACTGGCTTCTGACTGAACAAATCCTCTCAGGATGACAATAGCAAAATCTTCTGTTTGAGTCTAGTTTGAGTCTATAACTTCTCAGGTCTCTTCTCAGGTCAAATCTATTAACACAACCACCTGATTCCAGATAATCCCCATTTCACCACCAGTCACTTAGTGATATTCAAAGTTACAACAGACCCCACAATTTGGTGGGTCTTCCTGAATTCACAGTTGCTACTCAAGGGTTAGATGGCAGCAGTGGCCAGGAAAACCTTTATGCAAATTCATGAAGCATATCAATTATCCTATGTCAAAAGCAGGAGATAAAATATTTCATGTTTGCATTTGGACTATAACAATGCATTCTACATGGGGATGTCCTTGAAGACCATTCAGAAGGCAGCAGTACAGGCCATTAAAGGCATATCCATATAACCTCTTTGTTTTGTGAGTAACAATAGCTATAAGCAGGTTTTTGGTGCAAATCAAGGTGCTAGTTATTATCTACAGAACCGTTCATGATATAGGGCCTGAGGGACCTGTCCCTTATCCAAAGCTCCTATCCACCCTAAATTATTTGGCACAGTTGGCATAGTCAGGGTCCCATCAATTAAACTATATCACCTGATGGGGAAGTGCATCTTAATCTGCCATAGCACCTGATTCTGGAACAATATTCTCCCAGAGATTTGTACATCCATCACAATGACCTTGTTTAAACAAGCCCTTAAAACATGCTATTCTCTCAATGCCTTGGGCTGGAAGAAGAAGAATTAATGTTAAGAATTAATGTTATTTTTCTCTAACCATTTGCTTTTTGTATTGTTTGTACAGTACATTGTACACTACCCAGAGTCATTCTGGAGTTGTGTAGCCTATATCTTAAAATATACAAAATACGATGCAAGGCCTATTTCAATTAAATATTTTACCACAGCAATGTTATTTGTAAAATAATATTTATCTTCAAACTATGAGGCTATATTACTCCACCACAGATAAACTCTTCCTATTATAAATACTGTACATTGGATTACTATATTTAAATATATACTTTTCCACAAAGTCATTAAATATCTATCAAGTATCATTATTTGTACTGTTTGGTTCTTAAAAGCCTAATATCAAGATCTGATATATGAAAAAATGGTTATTCATCTCAATTTTTATATTAAAATAATGTCGCACATTATATACTAATATACTTATTTGGCACTACAAGAAATATGTTGGTTAATTCTTGACGAATACAGTACCAGAGTTATTCACTTACATTGTATAATGAAGGTAAGGTTTATGTACAGCAGCTGGTAATTGTTTCTTTGGTGATTCCGGCTGGCAACTTGATTCAAATATTGATGAAACATTTTCATCCTCACTATCATCCAAAATTAAATTTGGTGCATCTGTTAATTAAAATAAAAATTTTATTTTATATATATATGTGTGTGTGTGTGTGTGTGTGTGTGTGTGTGTGTGTATTGTTTCCTTAAGTTTTCGCAGGTATTTATATGTATGATATTCAGCTTTGTTCGGGTATTTTCCCACGTCATTATATATTGCCAGCCAATCAAGACAAAAAAAAGCTACAAAACAGACAGAAGATATTAGAAACACCAATCAAGCAGAACACAGAAAACTCCAAGACCAATAAACACAGACCAAGACTCCCAACCAATCAGGATGAAGAAAAAACCATTCCGGCACAGCATAGGCTAGCACCAAATTTAAAACAGAAACGGCTGTGAAAGTCTGACTCACAGACGAACACAATACAGAAGCTTGATGATGGCAGATGAGATTCTACGGAAACGTTGCTACAACTTTAAAAACACAACTATAATAACGTGGGAAAATACCCGAACAAAGCTGAATACCATACACACACACACACACACACATATAATCTCCTTGACAGTATTAAAAGTACAATCATTTTCTAACACAGATTAATATGTGCAATCCTTTCACATAGAAAAATTTAAAATGTCAACCCCAATATATTCAAATATTTAATCTGCTTAAGCTCTTTCAACCCTGTTATCGAATTTATGTTCTCAACAATTAACACAGTTCTTTTAGGAGCTATCATTCTGGTTAGAGACAGTGATAAAAAGTAAAGTAAATAAAAGTATTTTGTATCAACTACTTAAAAACCTCATAAAAGTCTTCATCAAAAAAATTATCAGAACACAAGTTCCAAGTAGTCTCAGCATTTTCTGACCTTGAGGACAAAATTACAAGCAAAAACTAAACCAATGAGATTTAAAGGTCATTCATGCAATTTCTGCGTTCTTATACAAGGGGAAAGCTAAGGCACCTTTTGGGTTTCTGAAAATGTCAAATTGCCGAGTCCAGTCTAAACATTGCTAAGCAAAATAAGCTAGGAGCAAATCTGTACTCTGAAGAGAGCAATAATAATTATAGAACAGGTTATGTTGGAATATTCAGATTTAAAATAAATAAATATTTTTCTAATATTTAGCACTTTACTCAAGTTCATACACAAAGTTGTTTTATTTCAATGCCTTATCTGTAATTGTTTAGAATAATTATGGACAGGTAACACAATATTTTTCCCACCCAAATTGGCTAAACATTGTCTGGCTAAACTATGTCCAGTGATTTATTTAGTCAGGAGAGATTTATAATTTTGCATTTGCAAGACTTTTCACTGCATCACATTAATGTAGAAGAAGCTCTGAATGATATTCTTCCCACAATATTTTCCAATAAAAATAAGTGTCACACTTATACAGAAGTGATACTCATTTCCCATTATCTCACTTTATTCATATAATTGTTGAGGACCAATCACAACAATTTTTGAAAATCAGTAACAGTCATGTATCAAATCAAGAAATATATAACTGGTTAAATTATTGTACAGGTAGTCCTTGACTTATTACTGGTTGCTTAGCAACTGTTCAAAATTACAATGGGCCTCCATAGGGCTACTTCAGACCTGGATTTGAAGTTACAATGGCTGCTCTCCCCCGTCACACAATTGGTGGTAGGGAATCAACCCACAGTTACGGCCATTTGCAGTGTCTTACAGTCATATGATTGCAATTTAACTTTTTTTTTTTTGCTGGATGGATACCTGCATTTACTTCTGGCAAAAAAGGCCCATTGTGGACAATGGATCCACTCAATGATCATGGTAATCCACCGAACGACTGTTGCAAAGCAAATCATAAAATTGGGTGCAATCACATGAGGACCCACTTAATGTCCAGCATGACTTCCAGACTCAATTATAATCATAAGCTAGGGACTATCTGTATTTGCTGTATTTATTGGGTTTATGCCCTGCTGCAATCAATCACCTCTTAGTGGCTTGTAATAAAATGATAATTTAAACATCTAAATTCTGACATATATGAGAATGAGGAAAAAGAAATAGGGTACAATACATTAAGACGGCAAACTCATGAAAATGCTTTCTGGAATAATTCATTCTGTAATTGTTTTCAAAAGGCTAGAAGGGAGGGAATATGGATTGACAGACAGCTTGAAATTGTGTTCATCTTCTCTTCTTGGCCCTTCCTCATTGTCAGGATGATTTATCTGCAAATCAAACTACAGCTGCCAATCAAATTGCAGCACTGGCCAGGAGGGCAGGCAAGATGGCTGCCAGGAAGTTCTACCACAGGCCTCATTAGGAAGAGGTTGGGAACCCCAATCCAGGAGTCAAAAGTAAAGAGCCAAACTAAAAGATGAGAAGAAACTACAAAAAGGAGGCAGTGGCTGAGAAGACTATGGTGGAGGGACAGAGATGTTTCCTTCCCTCAGAACTGTTATGAGGTAAAAGGTCTTCAAGCCTTTTCCTTCAATTGGAATAAAAACTTGGAAGAGGAAAAAGGTCAAGAAAGCCAGTCAGAAACAAGAACACAAAGATTTTTTTAAAAAACAACAAAGATTAAAAAGAAAAGTAAAGACTTTGACAGAACAGAAATCCAAACGAACTAAGAAGAAAAGACAGATTGAACTCTATTGAAAAAAATGTCTAAGTGTCTAAGAGTGGTCTTGAGCAATTCTGCAGAGATATACTAGGAATAAGACAACAGAAATATGGAAGTTGGTCATGAATAAATACATAGAGAATATAGAATAGAAAGCTATGAAAATATAGTGAGATTGAAGAAAATAGTGTAGATAAACAGCTTAGAAAGAACAGTTAAAATAGAAAAATGTTTTATTATTAAAAGATTCATTTCTGCACTAGTCAAAGGCACTGATGATTTACAATATTCCTCTTTTATTTGTAAGCTTTCCTCTTGTAAAATAAAAATCTCTTTCCATCCATTGAAGGAAAATACAAAAACTCAATCAATTTCCAGTGTTTTGTGGCTATTGAGTCTGGGTCAATTTGGTTATTAGGGATTTTAAAAAAAGATTTACAAAAGTGATCTTCAATGGGTTAGGCAACATTGAAGGCAACAGTGTTACAACAGAGAAGCAGCGCCATCTAGCGGGAACTTCAAGGACCAATTGTAATTACTTGTTAAATGTCATTGTATAACTTCAAATGGTTTCTGAATGAGTAGTCATTAAGTAAGGATTACCTGTATTTTTTTTCTCAAAATTCAAGGCAAGTTTCTGAACTTTTTGTTTTCATAATGGTTTCTGAATGTTTTCCCCAAAGCCATCCCCTTGACTCCCTAAATTCAGAGAGCAAAGTACTCTCTTAAATTATTTCATATATGTCCATTTTTTTTTTCTGCAATCAACTTGTTTTAATTTTATACTTTATTGCCATTCACTTCTACCGCTCTACCATTTCAAAAAGAAACAATCTTGTTTCTACAGGAACTAAGGAGTTGCCATAACATGGATTAAAAATATAGAAATACCTTCTCTTTTGTCACCCTGACTGAATTCAGCATGAGGAAATACTTTATGTAAAACAGCCAGCATTTCGTTGAAGGTTCTTTCCAACAATGGCCTTATGATGGGAGACAAAGCATGCCCTGATGATGTTACCGCACGTTGAGAAGCAGGCACGATGTTCTGCATTGCATGATAGAAGTCTTGTGCACTGAGAACTATTGAAGAAACATCAAGCTGCAATTTTTGACTGCTCGCATAGATCTGAGGATAGCGCCGTCGCAGGGCAATCAAGGCAGCTTCAGTACAAAGTGCTTTTATGTCAGCGCCACAGTATCCTAAGGCATGAAAATAAAACATACAGTGGTTCTGTTAAGCAGTATCAATATTTTGTGTATGTCAAGCACATCCACAAAGCTGAATGTGAGCAGCAATATTCTACTGGATTCATACTGCACTGGGCAGTGTGCATAACTTAAATGATCTAAGAAAATAAATATTGATATAATCTTTTAAACAAAGAATGCTCAAGAATCCATGTAAAGAAACCTGTGAGAGAAAAATCTAGAACCTATAAAAGAAGGTGAAAATATATATATACGAATTAATGTTTATGGTGGTCTATACATACATGAGTGGAATTGCACCCAAACTAGCTAGCTAATAAAGCAGTAACCATGACAAAATGGATTCTCTTCCTAAACCAAAATGTCTTTCGGGAAATGAGAACCCAAAAAATCAGGCAAGAAAGAATTTGAAAATTTTGTCATTTCACATATAATTTACACACACACACACACACACAGAGAGAGAGAGAGAGAGAGAATTTCAAGGAAGTATTTGGCAGTGACAACTCCCAATTTAATTTAAAAAATCTTTGCTTTGGGTTCACAGGGAAGAATTTCTATTTTCTACACTGGAAAGCTCAGTAACTAAACAAGGTGGTGAGTTCTGTCCCCCTGCTTCCATGGTAACTATTTAATGATCATCCTCTCCAAAGATCAAGGAGCAACCTCACCGCTAAAGTGCAAGTTTCATGAATCAGTCTCTGAAAAGATATAGTTAATGCGATCCTGCAAACCTTCACAAAAACTCAAAATGTTTAGATTGCTACATAATTCGGACTGGGGTATTTTGCAAGATTATTTTTCATTTTCTAAGGAGGTTTGAACAAAATTAAGTGGTTTGTAAACCTAACTCAATTTTATTTCTACTGGCTGAGAGATATTCCAGTGTAAACAGAAAAATCCCCATTTCAAAATCGATGTTCTTTCATAGTATTTGCTATTAGTAAATGTCACAAAAAAATCTAATTTCTGTGCTTTATTAGTCTCAATTCTACCTCTCTATGGAATTTTTAATTAGATTATGGCTCATTTTCTCAATTTACTGTATTTTTCACACTATAAGACTCACTCCCCCCCCCCCCCAAAAAAAGTGGGTAGAAATGTGTGTCTTATAAAGCTAATGTTGCTGAAGCTCCGCCCACCCATCAGCCCCCGCCCTTTGGCCTCTGCCTCCCAGCAGCCAACAACCTGGTCAGCTTTAGCACAGCCTGATTTAGCATGAGCAGCTGATTGGTGGTAGGATCTGACTCCCCGGAATCCTACCGATCAGCTGTTCCGGGCTGTGGGGATTTCTGCTGCCCATCGCCATCTCCACACGCCCCATTTTCAGCCTCCGCATGCCCCATTTTCGGCTTTCATGCATTCCATTTTCAGCCTGTTCCAGGCGGCAGGGATCAAAAATGGAACGCGTGGAGGCCAAATATGGGGCGTACGTAGGTGGCTGTGATCCCTGAACCCTGGAACAGCTGATTGGCGGTATTCTGGGAGACCAATCCAACTGCCAATCAGTTGTTTGTGCTAAATCAGGCTGTGCTGAAGGTGACCAGGCAGTTTGCTGTTTGCTGCAAGGAAGCAAATTGCTGGAAGGCAGAGGCCCATTTTTTTTTTCTTGTTTTCCTCCCCAAAAGCTAGGTGTGTCGTGTAGTGCAAAAAATATAGTATTTATCAGGAGATCCAGTCTAAAATTAATCCTATTCACTTTCCTTTTGGAACAAATTGCATTCTAACATGTCTCCTTCTTTTAGAGCAACTCTGCAAGAAATTATACTGTTCAACAAAGTAAGTGCAAGCTTTCAAACAGAAATTAGATACTTCTATAGTGAAATTTGCAACACTTAAAATGTATACAACTTGGCTGCAATCATTTTATGCAGTATTTTATCATTCCTCTTCACTGACAATTGGTGTCCTAATGCAGGGGTTGCCAACCTTTTGGACCTCAGGGACCAACAAACTCATAATTTTAGATCCCAGGGACCACTAACCGGTTCTGTGGGCATGGTCTAATTTGTGGGTGTGGCTTGATGGTCATGTGACTGGCTGGGCATGGCTTGTAAGTAAAATATTATGAATATTTATATAAATATTAATTTTTTTATAAAAAAAGAGCAACTTTTACCCAAAATCAGGCAAAGCAGGCAGGCAGATTGAGTTGCTCACAGAATCACAGATTCATTCAGAAATCTATCTATCTGCCATTGGCTAGCTCAGTCTGTCACACAAAAATCTGCTTGCAAGCAAACTCATAAAATTAACTCACAACATACCATGTATGTAAATATTGATTTTTTATTAAAAAAAGCAACTTTTATCCAAAATCAGGCAAAGCAGGCAGGCAGATTGAGTTGCTCACGGAATCATTGAGTAATCTATTTATCTGCCATCAGCTAGCTCAGTCTCTCAAATATGCTTGCTGTTAGTCTGCACTGAATTTGCTTGCAAGCAAACCTTCAGTCCTAAAGGAGGTTCGGCTGTGCTTAGCTAGAAAGCAAGAAATCCAAGCATTTCCTGCTTCCTAGCTAATCTAAATCTCCCGGCACAGCAGAACAGATGATGGTCAGAAAAAGGAAAAATAACAACTTAGCAGACAAGTTTGCTGGGTAAGGAGTGAGTGGGCAGGGAGGGTTCCCGTGGGTCATGTGGGCTGAGCAGCCTTGTGTTTCTGTGCAGCCTGGATTAATTGCTTTGGGGGGGTGCTCTGGGGGTGAGATTTCTCTGTGGCCCACCAAAATTTTCTCGCGGCCCACCAGTGGCGGCCGCTGTCTTAGTGGATAGAAGTACTTTTTAGTACTAGGTGCTAGTAAAAACTATCTTGATAATAAAACTCCCCTTTGAAACATTTTAGACAAATAAAAAGGTAGCCATTGTCAGCCACTGTCATATCACTTGATTATCTGACCATCCATTGGCATGTCCATCCAGTGTCTGGTATAGTGCCCCTGGAGGCTGCTAAAATAGGATGTTTCTGGATGAATAAGCCCTCAAATTAAAATGATATAATGTTCAAACTTGCAGCTGAACTATAGATTACCAGGCAAAATACACTAGTTTATCAAGAAAGTTATTTACTTGACTCTATAGTGGAAAGCAGAAGTTTGATAAATAATTAAATTTAAAACTATGAGGTGCTCCTGGTTATTATTGATTCATTCATTCATCAAATATATATGGCTGCCCATCTCACAAAAACTGACTCTGGGAGACATACAACAATATGATCAAATAATACATACAAGAAACAATCAATACAAAAATACAAGCATCAATATTAAAAGATAAATATAAAATCAAATATACAAACCCTAGATAAAGAGAGAATAATAGCCAGCTCAGCAATGGAACCATCTAAGCATGTCTCCGATTCCCTGGGAGCCCCACGCGCCTGATGACACAACTAGGTTTTGAGGAACTTCTGGAATTGTCAAAATTCCAGAGCAGTATCATCCTACAAACACTACCAGTTGAAGTTTTATGCAACATAGTTGCTAACCTAGGCTATCCACTCAGAATGATTCTGGGTAATATGCAGAAGCATGGCATCAGTACAACAATCAAAACCATAAAAAAAAGGAAAAGGCAGCCAAACTGTCAGAGAAGAGAGTCAGGATTGTTTGGATCTCTGAAAGGAAGCTGTTTCACTGGGCAGCTGTCATGTCAGAGAAGGTGTGTCTCCTACATATCTTCAGATTACATCACTTAATAAATGGAAACTGATGCATGCAGACAGTCAGTTCGTACAAAATGGGCAGATATAGGCAACAACTAACATCTTGAATTGCACTTGGAAATCTACTGATAACGAGATCAGGTAACAGTGTTGGTGTAGCATGCCATGGCCATAAGTCCTTGTGCCACCATGTTCTAGCCTAGCTGAAGTTTCCAGGTAGTCTTCAAAAGCAGTCTTCTGAACACTGCCATTGCAGTAATTCAGTCAAGAAATAACTAAGACATGTGACCATGTGAATAAGCGCAAGCATGCGCACGTGCACACACACATACCACAGATTTAGCTGTAAGTGCAATTGTAGCACAAGAAGGATTTATACAAAGGTCTCTGGACTGCAGCTACCATCTGTGAACTTTTTAATGAATCATTATATAAATGGTTAAAAAGAAAACTCTACCCTGCTCATAACGTTGTTGATTTTAAAGTACAAATAAAGCCAGCATACTATGATATTCTTTGATTTAATCTTTCTGACTTGTAACAATCAGAAAGACGAAACTTCAGGATAACGTTCTCAATAGTGTGATCATAGATTATAGGAGAATTGCTTTATTGCAATGTGCCTAAGCAATATTATGTCTAATAGTTTTGTGTTTTATATATAGGGGGGCGGGGGGAGAGAATGAATTCACATTTTAAATTTTAATTAACTTCTATATTTTTATTCTGTGTTTAATTTTATTTTTCCAGCTGTGCACATTGTTCAACAGTAAAGTATCTTATTTTTTTCTGCATTAAAAATGGCATATAAAGCAAATAAACAAGAATACATTTATGCAATGTGGAAATTCATAATATTCTGAAAAAAGATGGAATAATAAATGGAAAAGAATTCCACATTTAAAGATATGTAATGTTAAAGAGTATTAAATGAAGTATGATTTCAGGAAAGAATTGGCATGCAAGAGATTGATATGAGAGCCGTAGCATGTTTTGTATTTACCAAATCGTATTTTGGAAGATGGTTCTTTACAGTTATTTTGCTTCAGTATTTAAAAAGAATACAGACTGAAAAATTTGCCCGAAGTAAAACAGTGCAGAAATGGAAGCTGAAACTAATATAGCTTGATACGCTCTGATCAAAATAAGAAACTATAACTATCCATCAGAAAAGTTACTTAAAGTGGAAATAAAATGAGAATTATCCAAGCTTTATGGAAGGACTACAAGCATCCTAAACAGCATTGGATCAGTTAGTAAATCCTCACAGGCAGAAGATGCCTTAGAATATACACATAAAATATAGAGAAGGGGATACTAATGTGAAGTAATATAATCTAACTTCAGCTTCAACTGATGGCCTCTGCTAGGTAAAGAACTTGCCATGGAGTGAAATTCAAGAGAGGTTTTTGAATTTTAATAATGTCTCTGATGACATAGCCTCTCAAAAATTAAGTATTTTAATCACAGAGTACACAATGTGTAACAGCAAGCAATGAGTTAAACAGAAGATGATGTAGTTAAAGATTGAGGGAAATAAGAGCCACATGGAAAGTTATAAATTCCCAAGTAAATAAAGTTCAGTTGGCAAAAACCTATAATTCAGCCTTGTCTTCTATTAATACATTATTTTCATTCATAATATACAATATATTTAGATTGTAAGGAAGAGTGACTAAGAAAATCAAGTTGTCCAAAGACTGAAGGCTTAAACCACATAAACTAATATCATGTTAAGATGTGGAATTAATATAAAGAAATTATAGATGAACCAAGTGTTCTCGGAAAGAGGCATAAAGTAAATTTAAGTGATAAAAACAGTGAGATTTGTTACCAGATGGAAATGGAAAGGGAGGAAAAGTTTTGAATGTTAGTTCACATCACAAACCATACATTACAGAAGCAACTGCAAATTGGAATAACTAAATTGCCTAAAGAATAGACGCCCCCATTTTTAACAGCAGATTTTAATATTGCCTTAACTGGTTTACCACAAAAATAAAGTATATGGATATCAGCACAAATATATCTGATAGATACCATAAATTAACCACAGACTGGAAGAGAATTTTGACTGAAGAGTCCTCATGCGTATGCAAGAAAATGTTTATAAATTACTTATTAAGTACAAGTTGATGCAATCAGTCAGCACGTAAAGTACTTGCATGGGTTAAAAATTCTCAAATTTTCAAGAGCTGGAAAATGTGACTTTTATTTTATAACTTTCTATGATTAGCATCCTGATCCATATTTTTTTTTTCAAATTGTCTAGAAACTTAGAAAATGTTACATTTCCATTTAAACCTGCATTTCAAACGACAGGAAAATTTCTGCGGGCCTTCAAATTGTGGTTTCCTAAGACCCGAATGACATAAGACACAGGTAGATCACCACCTATTTTGACAATGCTTTCTGGGTCACTTTTTCAACAGATGACCCAACGAAGTATGCTTCCATTGTTTTTATGCCTTTTTTAGCCATGTTGCATTATATAGGTATTTCATGCAGGTTTGTATCCAGGATTTCTTAAAGCCCCACACAACTATAAAGTCTATTAAAACCTTCCCAAATAATTCAGCCTTAAGAAGCCATACAGTAATAATTAGGATTTGTGTGCAGTTTCTAAGATCAAAATAAAACATTAAAATGTTTAAACTAAGTACAAATCGTTGAGTGAAATCCATGATTATCAAGCATATTAGTTCTGCAAAATGCAGCCTTTTCTTCTATATGATCCAAATCTTTCTTAGTGGCGCTATCAAAAGCAAGCAAACGTTTCTCCCTAGAATTCCCCACAAGGGGTGAATAATAGAAAGTGTTTATCAATGGCATCAAATAAAATACTAAGTAAACATGTGAGTCTAAAAGATGCACATACATTTTTAAAATGCCGAACAGTATTACAAGCTTTTAAAACAAAAAATGATTCATCTTTGTAAATGATGAAAAATGTTAATTATTTTATTAGACTTGCACAATGTTTGTGAGATTTAAACATATAAATCTGTCCTCAGTGGAAAATTCAGAACAAAAGCTCTGGGAAATTCTCTATTTTAGACTTAGATTTTCCTGTAAATCTAAACAATCACACCTCATTATATGGCATATTTTTATAAGATCTGTAAGAAAGTCTTCACATTCATAAAATATCACTTTTCAGACTGGAATATTGGCCAATGAAGGACCCAACTTGTATTTTCTATCTGCTAAATGGTTGTTGTAGAGTCACTAAAAGAATCTACATGAAATGGATTTGGCACATGCTTTCTTACACCAGACAAAGCTTAATTTGTCCTTTGTTGGATAATTGTTTTCTTCTCACCAGAAGATGTTGGGGTCTTTGCAGATCAAAAGTGGAAGAATGCTGCTTCGGAGATAGATGTTCCTGTGGATGAAGAGGATAATTCGGATGTGTACAGTAGCTGTCTGAATGGATGGTGCTCAGTTTAAAATGTTATTGTTCTGTTGGAGAGTTGAATGATCTGATGCTGTCGTTGTTCAAAATTGAAGACTAACACAAGATTGACAGAAGAGGAGCATTGTTTTGAAGAGACTGTGTTTTTAGTGATGTATTTGCAATACTAAAGTATGTCTCTTAGCAATCTTACTCTTTAGTAAGAAACAACAACAGTAGCTAGTGTAGTAAGATTTATTTTTTCAGCAAATCTGCTATACAGTATTTCGTGTCTGGTGTTCTTTAGGTATATATAAGTGCCCAACTCAAGAGACAGAAAATCGTATCCTGTGCCAGTCATTCACTTATGCTAATTATACTTTAGAATTTGGAGGATTATTAATGTAGATGTTTTCTTAGTGCAAACCATATCATTCAAAATATTATAAGAAAGCATTTATCCCAATTTTATTTGTGGAATAATCACGGCTGATATTAATTTTTCCTTATAAAACTTTATCATATTCATTTGAGTTTTTTTGCTTAGTCACATAAAAGAATATGGATCATGCCAAGATTTTTCAAAATTTGTTAAGATTTGAGATAATGACAAGAAATTTTGGCAAGTGGCATGAAAATAAATATTTACATTTTCTGACATGAATTAACATGAAACTTCAAATATAAAATGGAAAAATTGATTACAATTAGAAATTTAATCAGAAAGCTTCAAACGTTCTTGAATGTTCTTTTAGGAATGAAAATATAGAAAGCAAAAGTAGCAAGTTAATACCACTCACCAACACATTTTTCAGCTAGCTCTCCTAAAAAATGATTGGACAATTTTGGATTCCAGTCCCTGGTATGAATTTGTAAAATGTGCTTTCTTGCCTAACAGAGAAATTAAGAGATTTTAAGCATTTCATCACAAAACTATATCAAATACATCAGTCATACAAATAGTTCATCAACTTTTTATTTTCCCCCAAATCATTTAGTATAGAAAATTTACTGAACTAAAGAAGTATCAAAATAAAGATTTCTACTGGAATGTTTAGAGTAGAAATATCAATAGAATACAAAACTGACCCTAATACATTTTATTCTAAAAGCAGCTAAAGAAGTATGCATTATTCTCTTTTAATTATTTACTACTCTCTATAAATATTGTAAATATAGCATTTCCAGTCTAGTAAATATAACTGTAATGATTCAAAGGAACATTTCAATAAACATATGCTAACATAAAAATTGATGTTGTGAGCTAAGCAACAATACTTCGGTTGGTAAACAGTATGCTCATAATCAATGAGCTTGGGCATGGTTGCTTTGAATAAGTTCCAAGCTCATATTGGAATGACGTACATTATATCTGGTTTCAGGCAAAAGCTGACAATTCCACTGGGAATGCTGAAGGGTCGAATGCCTTAGATAGGGACTGATATGATTTAATTGCAGCAACTGTTTACAGGTAATAGTGTTATCTCAGACTCTGAAGTTCTCACCGTTTCAAAAACATAAAAGCACAAGAAAATGTAAGACACACAAAGATAGCCTTTTATATGCCTACCTTTTGATCAGGCAAGCTAAAAAGAAATTCCCTGTCAAAGCGACCTGGTCTCCTGAGTGCTGGATCTATAGAGTCAAGTCTGTTTGTAGCACCAATGACAACTATTTCACCTCTGTTGTCCAATCCATCCATGAGTGCAAGTAATGTAGATACAATAGAGCTAAAACATATTTCAATATAATTTTGTTTAGGGCAAAGCATTAAGAGATACAGGCATTTCAAACTTAACTTTAAACGAACAATACTAAAGTGACAAGTACATATTGCCAAAATGTAAGGTAAAGGTTTCCCCTGTCCAGTTGTGTCCGACCCGTGGAGGCAGTGCTCATCTCTGTTTCTTACCCGAGGGAGCCAGCGTTGTCCAAAGACACTGCCGTGGTCATGACTATATGCTGAGGAGCACAGAATGCTGTTATCTTCCCACCAAAATGTCCCCTATTAATCTACTCACTTTGCATGCTTTCGAACTGCTAGGTGGGCAGCAGCTGGGGCAAGTAATGATAGCTCACCCCATTGCATGGCACTTGGGTCTCAAGCCTCGGCTGTCAGCTTTCCAGCTGTCAAGCTCAGCCTCTTTAACCACTGAGCCATCATATCTCCTTTTCCCAAAAAATAATTAATCCTACTTATTTAGACGTTCATGAATTCATGAATTGGTTCCAGTTTGTGGCCCCTTTCCTATTTCCAAGGCACTTAAGTGTGTGTGTGTGTGTTAAAACCTAATTTTTTAAAAAAAATCTTAAATACTTAAAATCATTAATCAGCTTGAAAATCTTGAACAAAGTGAAGGTCTTACCTTCTTTCTTAAACATGGAAACTATGGGAGTTAAACACAACTCTTAAGGAAGTATATTTTTTTAGTCTGGGGGTGATTCAAGTGTTAGATCACTTCTATGGGCTAGATAAATGGAATTTTGAAATCAGGGTACATTTTTAGGAGGTCTCCTATTTTTAATATTAGTGCTTGGGCACACTAAGATAGGTGGTTCTTATGTATTTTAAATTAAACCTGAAAACAGTCTGAAAATTTCATGCACTTAGTGTCATTACAGTAGCTACTAAATGCTGCACTAATTGTGTAAGACAAGGAAGTATTTCATCATCAGATGCCATCTGATGCCAACGTCTCTCTCAGACGCCAGCTCAATTCTAAGAAAATGTAAAATCTAGAATAAGCTCTACTGCGTGGTATAGAGTTTAAGATTTTAGCTGAGAGTCATAGTTGCTATCCTGATCCATTCAATAACCTTAGTCTAAATGTTAGACTTACAGAACAGTAAATCTAGGACAGAGGTAAGAAAGAAAAGCTTCCCTTTCCCTCAATTGTTTCTCACAATATTTTCATTTAGAATTAACCTGGATAACATAAATCTTTTAATTGTGATGCTATTAAAAAGCTAGAATACCATCTAATTATCATGAATATTTTCTTTGTTAGAAGAAAAGAAGCAAATTTGAAAAAGGCCTATCCTTTTCTTGAAATAGCCAGCCTCTCAATCTATCTCCAAGTAGGTAATTAATGTTTATTCTCATCCATGTCCTTTTTGTCTCAGACTCAGTAAAGTAGCCTTATTTTTATTGCACAAGTTAAAATAACTCCTTTTTGTATGCCAAGAACGCACTAAGTCATATTCAGCATATAAGAAAGGTCAAATGTTACAGTCACTGGATCAATGGAATAAGGAAGGCTAAAGGAACTGAGTTAGGCTGAGTGGCACAAGCATTTGATAAACTAGATCTCTAATTGTCCCAAGGTGCTTTTCAAAATGGCAACTGGACTTTCTTGGAGTTTTTCTTCTTTTATTTTTCATTTCACTTCTCATCCAAGAAGCTTTTTAGTTCTGATTGAATGCTGGAGAATGGAAGAAATTTATGCATCCAATATTACATATGCTATAAGTAATATTCTATTCTCACCTGTGAATTTGGTCTTGTCTACTGGAGCGAACTGGGGCCAAGCCATCTATTTCATCAAAAAAGATTATGGATGGCCTCATCAGGTACGCCTGTGGTAAACAACAAACAAAATTAATTGTGGATATGAAAATAATTGTTATACTTTTAAAAGCTATGAGAAAAATTATCTTTAATTCCTGTATTGGATCAGAAACACTCATAATTATAAAGCCAAAAAAAGGCATTAACTCTGCCCTGACTACATACTGCAGATTACCTTTGACAACTAATAGGTAGACTTCAGGATGCAAAAACCTGGTAGCCTCTACACGAGTAGTGATAGGGTGGATTAGGATTGGGAGTAGCCCCAGGTCAAATGTGAAAATAAACTTTAAAAGCTCTGAAAAGAAGAAATTGCACCATCTTCGTAGAAACTTATTGAAAAATATTTCTGCATTTAAAAGCAGTTGATCTTTTGAGTTTTCTGAAAATTTCCTTTGAGCTAAACTCAATTCCCAATGACTTTTACTTATAATCAGAGCTTTCTTGGCAACCTTACTAAAATGGCTTGCCTCTTCCTACTTCCAGGATATATTTCAACAGACTATTCTACAGCTGTAATCTTTCATGGTGATCTTTCAAATATGTACTAACCCGGTCCATCCCTAGTTAGCTCCACAAGATTATCTATTAGTGGCTAGGGTGTAATCTATGTAAATACCATCTCATCCAATGCCAGCTACACAGATACTTTTTTTTCTGACATTTTCACCTCCAAGAATATACATGCTTTGAGGAATTTAATTTTATTCTTCAGTCAGTATGAAAATATCAAGAGTGTCTTTGAAGTACAAGCAAAAATACAAGACTTCAGAGGTGTTCAGTAATCAATATAACTTTTTTTAATCTCTTGAAGCAAAAGGAGTCACTGCATTTTCTACTGATTTGACAACTCATTCTGGTTTCTTTTTTTATCAGCAACTTCACTTATTCATCTTTCTGAAACTAAATGTTTTTTATGGGCATTTCCTAACAATGAATTGGCCTGCAAGACCTATTAAATCTATAGACTTCCAAGTGGAGATTCTTTCCCTTTCTGGAACTTCACGCCTCAGTGTCAATCATCTAATGATGGAAGATGAAGCAAAGCAATGGATCTTCCTCCACCCAAGAGCTTCAGTGTCAAAGGACTACATTCTGGGAGAGGACATTGTCTCACTCATTAATATAATTAGCCTTTTAAAACAGGGTGACTGGATACAATTTGTCTTTTGGACTAGAGATGCAGCAAGTTATATTTGCTTAACTTTCAAAATGAAAATCATAACTGCAGGAAACAAAATATTTCTTTCATGTCTTCTTATATTCATGGTTACTCCCCCAAAATTGTTTCTATTCTTTGCTGTTATTTCACATTTAATAACCTTTTTCTTCTTCCTATAATGACCCCAGCAAATATTAATATAGGAACTACCATGATCCAAGGTAATGAACTCAAGCTGGTAATATGACAACAGGAACTGAAAACAAAATCAGTTTTCATCCAGCTATTCCGAATGGGAAATACATTTGCTCATTGTGATATTACCTTTGCAAATAGAGGGATATATTAGCAATTAGCAAAAATGTTCAAAAATCTCCTGCTTCAAGCTGAAGGACTGAATACATAAAATTGTGTACTAACTTGATCAAAGAGGAGTCGAAGCTGCCGTTCAGATTCACCAACCCATTTACTGAGGCAGTCTGCTCCCTTCCTCATAAAAAAGGCAACTTTTCTGTCCCCATGAGTGCATTCATTGGCCAGAGCTCTAGCCACCAAGGTTTTACCTGTTCCAGGAGGACCATAAAACAAACAGCCCCTGAAGACAAATGGACAAATACAGAAATCACTATTTCTTTTTCTTTATAAGCAGCCCAGTGTTTGCTATTCACATAAGGGACACAAGAGCTCAGTGATCTGTTTTGGATACCCAGTGAAATGAAAGTTATTGCTAATTAAAAACAACGAAGGGGAAAAATAGAAAATTTTACAAGGAGTTATTATTTTTTTAATCTATGCTATTTTTTCCCTATTTTAACAAAAATGTCATTCTTTTTTCAATACGCAGGGCCAATTTATTGTTGCATATAAGCATCATAAATTAATATGAATATCAGAGATAGGGCATACATGTGACATCTCTGTGTCAAGTGGGCAGCTATAGAAATCAAACAAATATTCTAAATCAATGCAAATGAATGAAGTTATAACGCTAGCTTTGTTATAACCAAATAACAAATTCCCAGGTTTCCTGTGTCTCATGCAACCATTAGTTCTGATAAATAGGGTAAGGAGGAATGAAAACAGTGATGAGTCTTGGGACAAAAATTAAGCTTTGTTTTATTAGAAAAATCCCATGCTTAGCTGTCTCATATAGCACATACACAGCATCAAACTTTTACAGTAAGGAATTTTGCCAACTCTTAGTTTCTCTGGAGGATCTTCATGACTATTTCTATCTTTATCCATTCATCTTTAAAATTCAATAGCTTCTTTCATTAAGTTGAAGAACCCATCATGCTATTCTGCTTCTGTGTTACATTTAAAAATCAAGCTGCTTTTTTCAAGATCTTGTGAAACATACCAAGCAATCAAATCTAAATTCTGGATGCCTAGGTTGTATGGATATGAACGTAAGTCAGTGAGGTCTTATACATATCTGAAGACTTGACATACTTGGGAAGCTTTTAAAAAAATTCCAGTTTTCCAACTATTATTAAATCTAAAGTTTCATTTTAAAAGATACTTCTGAATAAACAAACTCAGTTGCATTTTTCTTTGTACAGGATGGTTCAATATTGATTTATTTCATATTTTGCAATATTACTGAACTATTTTGCTTTGTTAAATTTTTCAAGAAGTAGAGAATGGTCTTTGTCTGACAGCTCTATTTTCCTTAGCTTTCTCACACTTCTAGATTGGCAACTTTAAGGGAAATTATACAACACAAAATCGTTAAAGATATAAAATATCTTTTCTGCAAGGAAAAAATTCAAAGCAAGATATTTCATCAACTGTCACACAAAAGTTTTTGACGTTGCCCATTATCCTCTCTCAGCAAACTTCAATTCCAGCAACTATCTGGTAACTATTCCATTATTCCAAAGATTTGGAGGCATATCGGGGCATGGGGGAGAGAATCTGATCTAGGAATGGCTTTTTTCCTGCTTAAGTCAAACGGCTAAACCAACTGCAGTCAGCCAAACCTTCAAATAATTTGCACCATATTGTACTGACAAATAATAGTATTTTAAAATAATAAATCATGTTGGCCCAATGTGGTTTATTTTAATTTAATTTAATTAATTCAGATATTTTGTCCACTTCTTTATTAAGCTATTCTTTAAAATAACCCTAAATCCTACAAAGTATGTGTATTCTGGTAGATTAATTCAAGTGTAAATATGAACAAAGCCTACCTTGGTGGTTGAATTTTGAATTTTTCAAATATTTCAGGATACAGAAGAGGAAATATAACCATTTCCTTAAGTGCATGAATATGATTGCTCAACCCACCTATACTATCAAAACGGACCTAAACAGAAAGATAAAAAGCAATAAAAGAAATTAACATTTGGAAATATAACTTATCATTTGCCCAGTTTATGTGGAAAAGCCATCAACATCTTTCAAAATTTCAGTAACAAAAATATTATCCAAAATGGTCTACTTGTAATCTGGTGTAAGCAAAGTAGCTATAAACATTTAATATTTTAAGATTGAATTTTACAAAGCAGCTTAAAGATTTTCGTTTTAGCAGATTTTCGTTTAAACAAAGAAAAAAAGCACACCGATTTGTCAAGAGTCATTGGATCCACGTCAGCCAAACTTGCTCCAACTTTTACTCGTTCGCGTAAGATTCCACTAGCCAAATCTTCTGCTCTGAAATTCATTGGCAGACACCTATGACATATTTTTTAAAAAACCATAAAATTCATGCTGAATAAAAATGCATTCATGCAATAGATGGGAATGGTGACTTTTCAGGTACAGTATTTCATCTTGTCCCACAAATAGAATGAGAATTTTATTTTATTTATTTGATTTGATTTGCCAATCGCTTACAAGATACAGATATAAGAATAAACATAGTTATGAATACATGGATACAAATAAGAAAAATAAAAGAAATAATAGGACAGGGACAGTAGGCACGTTGGTGCGCTTATGCACGGCCCCTACAGACTTCTTAGGACAGGGGTGAGGTCAATAGTAGACAGTCTAAGATTAAAGTTTTTGGGGTATGGGGAAGAAACCACAGAGTCAGGTAGAGTATTCCAGACATTGACCACTCTGTTGCTGAAGTCCTATTTTCTGCAATCAAGTTTGGTGCAGTTAACCTTGAGTTTGTATCTATTGTGTGCTCTTGTATTGTTATGGTTGAAGCTGAAGTATTCATTGATTGATTTTAGTCATTAGAAAAAAAAATATAATTTTCATGAAGACATAATGGGCAAATGACTCCACTGCCACCCCCAAAAGTAAAAAAAATTCAAATAATACATTCAAATAAATTGGGCTGCATCTGAAATTACATTCAGTGGAATTTTGCTAACAATGGAAGAAGGAAGGAGGCAGTACATTTTAGAAATGTAGGGATGGGCCCAGTCTATAGCTCATGTAAAGTCCCTGGCTGCCCTTATTCAGACTTCTTATTCTTCATATTCTTCTTCATTAAGACTTCAGGCACTTATTAGCAATCCCACGCAAAGGGAAAAAAACAAAACAAATCTGAAGGTAAAATTTTTACTCCACACATTCTGATAACATCAGAACATCAGTGGCTGTGCCCCTATAACCTTCAGAAGAGTACAAAGACAATATTTAGCCCCCATTCTTTTCTTTATGGCTCCATTTGCCCTGAAAAGTTGTCAAATGGGTGCATGAGTCTATGGAATAACATTGGAGGTATTCTGATCCATAATGATAAGAAAAGCGTTATACTCTGTTCTGGCATAGAAGGTATCAATTAAAGCCAAAAAAAGAGCAATAATCAAGAAAAAACAATGCCTCACTCTTTACCTCCAATAGAAATGCAAATTTATGTTCACAGATGGGCAAGTCTGAAGAAATCCCATGATATAAAAACATATTTTCTATGACTAGAATAGATAATTTGTAGCTTAGAGTTGAGCTGTGGAGTCCTTGATGTTCTCTGAGTGTGGTTGTTTTATTGCAAACATTTCATTAACAATCTAAATAACATTATTAATGAGCACTGATGAAGTTTCCTAGTTTGGTAACAAAACGTCTGCAAGGAAACAACCAAGCTCAGAGAACACCAAGGACCGTAATACGTAACCATGCCTGATAAAGCACCTTTAATTAGAATAAAACAATTTCCACATGGTTGGCAAATTTCATCAGGCACATGAAACCAAGCCATTTTTTCCCCTTAACAGAATGATGACAAATAAATTGTTACCGGTTTCTCGCTCTTGCCATGCTTTTAGATTTTCTTCTTTCAAAACGTTCTTCATCTGAAGAGGTTGTATCACTACTATGAATGGCATGTTTCTTTCTCCTGAGGAAGCAATAGAACATTTCACTGAAGACCACCGTGCACTGAATTGTGCTTAGTGAACGCTAACAAATTAAAACAGATAATTTAAAGGTCACAAGGTCTTTTGTTTAATGCTTCTCTTGTTTTCATCACTTGAGCTGGTTAAGATGTCAGAGAAGCATGTCCTGCTTGGGTGGGGGGGTTGGACTAGATGACCTACAAGGTCCCTTCCAACTCTGTTAATCTCTCATCTGTAAAGCAACAAGACACAGCAATTCCTAGACTTCCCATATACACATAAACTCTGTTGTTCCAGTGTAAAGGAAAAATTGTGGTTTAATTTTGATTACAAAAAAGGATCAACTTTTCAAGTTTTTTAAAGACAGAGAACCACAAATTCCTAAATTGAAATATAATGGGAACAAGGAATGCAGAGGAAATACAGTAGGTCATTACATTACAGTACATTAGGCACAGAACAAGAATCATCCCATTCATTCCTCATGAGACTTTACTGCAAAATTTAATTTACCAGCCCATCATTACCTCTGAACTAAGTCTGTTTCCAAATAAGCTGAAAACAATTTTATATATACACAAAACATAAGGAACTGACAAAAAAAATGGCAAAACTATTTAGGGATAGCTCATAAAACTTTAGTTCAGCAAAATTTCTGGCAGGAATGGCTTCCAGCATACCAAACTATGACAATTAGAGGGATGATTTGCAAAGTATTCCTCTACAATGCTACAATACGATGCATTGGCTTATTTTTTTTTTTTTTACCCAGCTGATTCAAGAAATTATTCCTGAAATTTCAACATGGTAGCATAATGTCAATAGAAAATATCCTAATATATTATTTACCTGATATGGCTTCTTCTTGCAGGAGATCTATGAATGTCAAATAATGTGTTTTCCCTTTTCTTTTGGTGAGCTGGAACTAGATAAGACAATCAATTTGACATGTAAACATTTTACATAACTATATAAAAATCTAGTTCCTTGTATAAAGCATCTTAATACCGTTTCTAATAAATCAGAAACGTTTGCAAATAAGGTATATTTCTTCATTCTCTCTTCTCCAAATTTGTTTAATTGTTTTTATGTAAGATACTCCTTACATTAAATGCTCCTGCTCACAACTGTATTTGAATGAAACATATTAAATTCTAGTTTTAGAATACCTTTGACTAAACATTGTAGCATAATAAAGAGAAAAGCTTTAAGACAGCAATCTCTGCATTGCTGACTTACAAAAGAATTCTCACTGAAATACAGTAATGTGCAATTCTGTATCTTTCACTAGTACGATGTCTTGATTTAACATTACCCACACAAACAGAAAGGTAAAAAAAGACAGGTTCAAATACTTCCCAATTCTCCTCTCCAACATGATGAAGAAAAGTAATACAAACCAAAAAGTTGGTTAGTTTAAGGGTTTGCATGTAATAATCAGCTATATTAAACAAATTCCGTACTGTTAAACAAAGTACCAAAATAATCACAGAGCTTAACTTATCAGAAATAAATCCAGGCAAGCACAAAATAGCAAAGTATACATTTGTTAAATCGAAACTATTTATTCTTTTTGAAAAGTGTAGGGAAATGGGGGGAATGAGTAAGCATTATGTCTTGCATGAGTTTATATTAAACACTTTGCATTCAATCCCCAAAATATTTTCTGAGTGAGTTGTCTAATGAGTGGACAGAAATCTTAGAGGCATTTTTAATTTTACCAAATCTATCAAGTAGACACTGTTGCAGAATTATTCATTTATTTATTACATTTATATCCTGCCACAATCAAATAACTCTTGGTGGTCACATAAATACAACCACAGAATGTACCTACTTTTTTCATTAAGTAAATCAAAGAAAGAAAAATACAGGACAAATAAGATGCTACCGTAAGTACCTATTCAAAACAATAACAGCCCAAACTATCAACTGTTACAGAAATCTCTCTTTATACTATATGTTCAAATGCAAAGAAAAAAGAAAAAAAAATAGAGAAGAGGTTGAATACATTTTAATTTTTTTCCTACAAGCCTTCTTACAGAGAAGATGATTTTTCCTTCAGCCATTTTATCCTATTTAGTTTCAACATTAAATAAATTAAATTTAGAGGAACGATTATTTGCTGAACTTTATTATTATGAAGTTGATCCATGATCCATCTAGTTCTAATCTAATACTGTAACAAGGGTAAAATATTGCTGAACCAAGTTATTTCAGTTACATAAATCATTTTTAAAAATATTACCTATAGGAGGCGCTTGATATCTTTCTACTGTTTTTCTTTGTCTGAGATTATACGGACGATCATTTTCTTCTCCTTCTGCCTCCTCTGCTTCAATATCCCCATCTTCTTCTTGAGATTCTAGAAAAATCCCCATTAAACATTTATAAAAAGTACACTAAGGTAATTTGATAATATCTATTAAAGATCACCTGTTACTTTACAGATTAAATTTATTTTATAAAATATAACACTGATTTGGATAGTTTGCAATATTCCAGAATGAATTTTATAATATATAATGTTAGTATTTGTAAAAAACACTTATTTCAATATTACAGGTATCTATGAGACTTTGAATACATGACAAAGCTGTTACAATTTCAAGATCAAAACTATAAAATGACAAGAAAGATCAAACAGCAAAGATATTTTCAAATTAGAGTCCTGAACAATTCATTCAAAAGCATGTATCAAGCCATGAAGGAATTACCAAGGCCTGAATCCATAACTGTCTATTGGTATCCAACATTTAAATGTATAGTTTGATTAATAACAGTTTTTCCAGACTATTAAGAACTCAGATAACTTGTGCTGCTTTTCAACATAACATTTCACTTGTATTTATCAAAGTAGCTCTCAAATTACTATCACCATTACCTTCTTCTTCACCTTCTGTGGAAACCTCATGGTGGTTCTGGATTCCATAGCTATTTCTCCTTAATGATTTCCTCCTCCTTTTCACTCTTGAGTACATATCCATGTTTTCCTAAAATAAAAACCTCAAGAATGATCTGCATCGCTATAATATACATGTAACTTCCAAACTATATAGTTAACCAAACTCATAGTCATAATAAGTATTTTAATAAGAGAGAACCTGCATGTATGAAAGGGAGAGAGATGCTAAAATCACAGGCTAAACAAATGTAAGTATCTTTATTGGAAATTCTGATCAGAGTACTGAGTGTTCTATCTTAGGAACTATAAAAGAATTCATGGGAGAGTTCAGAAAATAATTCAGTTATTGTATCTATTTGGCACATAGAAATATCTGATTTTATAAGAATGGAGCATCTGTTCTTGAATAAGCCCCCACATCTGGACACAAAGGAGGCACAATCAGCACTGTAGAACTCACAGCAGCAAGGCACTCTGACTAGCTGGTTACAATTCTCTGGCCTTGCCACCATATGGCAATGTGAGGCAAAGGTTGTTGCTGCCCCAAGAGCTGGAATCTACAGAAATGAGCCAGAGACTCAAGAATTCTACCACTCAGAGCCACAGCTTCCCAGCAGCCAATAAGGTAGCTGGGAAGGGCGGGGCTGTTGCAAGCTGGCCAGCTCATAGAAGGGAAAGCCTTGTTGCCTCATCAGCTAGCTTCCATTTATCCACTCATCCACCACAGCCTGTTAGTAGTTGTGCAAGTCTCCAGAGTTGCAACAGATAAGACAGAGGAGCTGTTTTTCCTGTTCCTGAGACTTGATTTTGGATATCAGTTGCTACTACTTAAAGGGACCTTGAGAGTCATAAGCCTTGAATGCCAACCAGTAAAACATGCATATGTAGATGGACTGTTTCACATTAATCATACGCCTTACATGGTTGACTACCATATAATCCACCACAACCCATGTCTCTTCTTATGAGTTATTATTGTATTGTTTATGAGAGAGCACGGTATTGACACATGCTTTCTCCCTAGCCAGCTGCATTGCTTTCTCTTTCCCTTCTTTCCCTCCCTCTTAATAAGGATTGAAAACTGTATGCAGAATATTCAAAATCCATTTGATCCATTTTTATTAACAAGTGCTTTTGATGCTAGGCTATAACATACTCAAGGCTTAAACAAAACGTAAGGGGAAAAAAGATGAGAAGAGAATTAAACTTACAAATTCAGTATCTGTCCACATACGCAACCGTTCCACTTCACCTGATCGCCTGTTCCGTCTGATGTTAATATTGTCCATTTCCTGAAGAACAGCTTCAGCAGTACTAACAAGAAAAATGGTAGTAATGTATTTACCTATTTATATTCTGGTTTATTATCTTTATAAATAACTCAGCATATACAATATTCCCACCTCCCCATTTTCCACACAATAACTCTATGAGATGACTTGAGCGACTGGCCCAAAGTCAAATATATAACAGCTGCCTTGTGATATTGTAAGTAAATACAATAAGCTGGATCATAATTAAATATGGTTAAAATTAAATAAGACCCTTGGAAAATTTTGGTCCAGTAAATATGTCTGCCAGTAGAAAACACAAAAAAGTAGTTTTTGCATTACAACATTCCTCCTTTTAGAAGGAATCCTCAGTGCCAAAGCAAGTTTTTACTGAATACAAGGGGCTGCATTTAAGGAAATGAACATTATTACCCTCTTCCAGTGTGAGCAAATTCACTATTTTATCCATGATTTACAGACATAGTTCAGAGGCAAAAATCAAATTAGAAAAATAAGAGTCCAAAGTTTATTCCCATATTCTCCATAATTCTTAAACAAACTCAACTCTTAAAATTCTGGTTCACATCATGTATTGCAGAGATAGGGATTTCCCTTCCTTGCTGGGAACCTCATTTTTTTAAATGTAACATTTTGCCTCTAAAATGCAAAAAGTAAAGTCTAACTGTAAAGTTGATAGGCTGAAATGTCTAATCCATACAGATTACATAAAATAAATACAACACAGTTCTCAGAAATTGGTTTGCTGAGTAGATTAAATGTTTACATTGTTTGGAAGCTGAATATTCAAGCTAGGGAATATCTTTTTAAATATATAAATAAATATAAATTCTCATGGACTGAAATATAGCGCAAACATAATTTTAACAATACCATGAAATTATACAACATACTACAACATACCTGTTTACCAATTGGTCAAACAGTAAACTCTGATTGAGACTTTCAAATCTGTTTTTTCTAGACCGGCAACTTTTTCTAATTTCTCTGCCTCCATTTATACAGGCATGGTCAGCGTCTCCCTTTTTTTCTCCTCGAAGAGAACAACTTTTGAGAGCTGCAAATTTCAAGTTATAATATTAATACTGAGAAATCATCAATATTTAGGAGGTTTATAACAAGGTACATAGACTGTTGCAAATGTGTACCAGTTGGGTTTATATAGTTGTTGTTTTAATGGCATTCACATGAATGACGTACCCAGAGCCTTATGATTAGAAAGATACAAAAATTGTGTAAAATATTTCCACGCACAGACATACCCTAGTCATGCTATTTTATCCAAAATAAATCTTTCAATTTTAATGATAATTGTATATTACAGCCTTCATGCCAAATTTGCTTTGAGGGATTTGGCGTTCAGTCTAAGTAAAATGAGCCTAAGTAGAAATGGAGCCAGGAGCAAAAAAATGAAAATAAATTAGGTCAGTTTAACAAATAGGTACTTGGTCATGGAACAATGAATGTAATTTTTTTTAACTTTTTGCACTGAAAAGAGTAATATTGCATATTGAAAAATTAGAGAGACAGAAAGAACATTAAAAATATAAAAATGTTAAGCATCAGAATTAGCAATTTAACTATGAAGTACTTACATAAACTACGACCATTTGGTAGAGTAGCACCAGATTGAGAAGTTAACCTAAGAACAATTTAATTTGGAAAATTAAGTTGTTGCATTAAAATTACAATTTACATAATATTGATAATATTTCTATTCCCAAGTGTTACATATTGAACATAAGCTGTTATAATTTCAACTCTTCAAGTGATATGAAAACTATTTATATCCCATCTGTGTATTTTAAAGCAATTAAATAATTTTTGTGCTGCTTCTACAAACGAGGAGCAAAGTTAGTAATTCACTGAAAGCAGGAAAGTGAGTTTTTTCATTACAGAAGTTCACACAGGAGACTACTTTCAAATGATAGACAAAGCCAAGACAAAAAATGTAATTTATTTTACTTCAGAGTTGAATTACGCAGTCAATTTAGTGATAATTTTTAGAATATCTCTAGAACCACATCTGCTTCCAAAAGTTCTGTGCAGCTTGGAGAACTCAAGTTCTCTACTTCTGGTCTAAAGTCATCAATAAGAAAGTCTGGTATCAGTCTTTAAATCTGGTATTCATTTAATGAAGTTTAGCATTCCTAATTTTTTTTACCTTTCTAGAAAGCATTCAGGTAAGGTTCATTCCCTTGAAATAATGATTTGTGTTGATCTATCATCATACTTCAAACAATGTCAAGCTATTCAATTCAACATTTTAAATTTGTATGCTAATGTGATAAATACTTTCAAATGCAAACATTTGAAAAGAAAATATCTACTGTAAAAAAAGTTTAAAGCTTAAAAGTTTACATTGATCAGTTTATATGTTCCAATGCTATAATGCAGAGTCTATATTTTTCTTTGAAAAGTAGAATAGCCCCGCTTCGCAGACTCCGTCCGTCCTCGCTCCCACCCAAAGCCACGAAGTCCCCCTATCGCGCAGCCCAGAATCGCCCTCCCCTCAGGGGGCAGCAATGACGCCCGGTGTTTCCTGAGACAAGAAGCTCCGCCGTGCAATGAAAGCGCCCTGGCTCTAGGATCAGAAAACAACGCGAGCCGAGGTGGCTTCGTTTCCTCAGCCCCAGCTGCTTTCAGTCCGCTCGGAGGACATGGTGGCAGCGGCTCGCGTCGTTTTCTGAGCTCTAGGCATGGCTTCAGCTCCGCTCAGCTTCGTTTCCTCAGCCCCAGCTGCTTTCAGTCCGCTCGGGAGGAGGAGGAGGTGGTGGGGGCTCGCGTTGTTTTCTGAGCCCGCGAGCCTAGAGCTCAGAAAAAACGCGAGCCGCTGCCACCACCTCCTCCTCCTCGTCCTCCTCCCGAGCGGACTGAAAGAAGCTGGGGCTGAGGAAACGAAGCCACCTCGGCTCATGTTGTTTTCTGAGCCCGCGAGCCTAGAGCTCAGAAAACAACGCGAGCCGCTGCCACCACCTCCTCCTCTTCCTCCTGAGCGGACTGAAAGCAGCTGGGGCTGAGGAAACGAAGCCACCTTGGCTCGCGTTGTTTTCTGAGCCTAGAGCCAGGGCGCTTTCATTGCACGGCGGAGCTTCTTGTCTCAGGAAACACCGGGCGTCGTTGCTGCCCCCTGAGGGGAGGGCGATTCTGGGCTGCACGATTGGGGGACTTCATGGCTTTGGGTGGGTGGGTGGGTGGGAGCAAGGACGGAGTCCGCGAAGCGGGGCTTGCCTGCCCTTGCTGGCTGCCTCTGCTTCTTTAGGGGTGGGGAAGGGGGCTCATCTGGACCAAGGGTGAGTCTCCCCCTCAGTTTCGCCTGAAGGATCTTCCGTCGCTTTTGCCTTCTCCCTATGTCTTCCCTCTGTTAAAATCCCCCCCACACACACACTTATTTTCAGGTGGATAGATTTCGTGTCTGAGCATTCCCACATGACGGTGGGTCTTCCCCCCCCCCCATAAAAACAGTTAAATAAAGAAAAAACAATATATCCTCATGCAAGAACTTTTCTGCTTCCGATTACCCCCATGCTTACAAGTTGCAAAGGAAACACGGAAGCAGGGAAGCGGCTGCCCAGCTCCGGAGCTCCACACCATTTTTTTTTCAGAGGGAATCTCACTTGAGTATAAGCCAAGGGGTTTTTTTTTTCAGCACAAAAAATGTGCTGAAAAATTTGGCTTATACTCGAGTCAATAAGTTTTCCCAGTTTTTTGTGGTAAAATTAGGTGCCTCGGCTTATATTCAGGTCGACTTATACTCGAGTATATACGGTATCATGTTTAATTCTTAGCATCATCAAAAACAGCTAAATTTATTTTCCTTAGTTTGAACAGTAATTATAATGAAAGTTACATAAAATGATAAACATTCAGTCAAAAAACATTCAGAGTTCCAAACTGCAGTTTGAGTATTCCCAGGTCAATGAAACAGTTCTTATTCTAGAATTTTGCCTTAAGCCAGTGCAAATAGATAACCTATTGTGAATTTACCAACCACCCAACCTAATAACCTACTTTAATGGTTCTAAGACAAAAAAATATAGGAGTAAAGAGGTTTATTTTAATTTTGTACTGTTTCCTATTGTGGAACATTCAACATCTTTCAAATTTTCTTCAATTGTTCAAGATGGAATACAAGAAATATTCTAATGGAACATTTTAAATGGGATTGTTTTATTCAACTCAGAACATTTTTTCTTCCATTTTGTGTACTTACCTAATAACAGAGACTTTCCACTTGTGGAAAGTGCTAACTAAAACTAATGTTACAAATAGTACCATTCTAAAATTACAAATAGAACAATAATATCTACTATATCAATTATGAGATGAAAAATGGCAATAATCAAAACCTTGGTTTTTTTAAAATTTTAATATGCTTTAGCCACTATTACAAAATGCAACATTATCACAGAAAGAACTTGTAACTTAAAAACTTTACATAATTTACCTTCCATAATAGCTAAGGAGTTAAACTGAAAGGAGGACATAGATATATGCAGTGGTGTGCTGATAAACACATAACAACTTCGCTGCACTACTAGCCACCTAATAGCTGATTGACACAATACTAGGTATAGCAGCTCAGTTCTGCTATCTACTGGCTTGCAAAATTCTAGAAAATTTAACAATAGGCTCTCATGAGCAATACAAGCCTGTTCCACTACATCATTAGATGTATGTGTGTATCCCACCACTAATGCTATAATAAATCCAGTCAGACTGAAGAAATCTTTGTTTCTGATGCAAAGCTAGGAAACTTATCTGTAAAAACATTCAGGTGAATGCTCTTATGGCCCTGTCATAATTAGAAAATTCGCCTTCACAAGTTTCCACATACATAATTTTTATATTAAATCTAGCATCTAAAGATAGAGAAATCAGTACCAAAGCTTTCATGCTTTTCTGTACAAGTAGCCCTCAATTTATGACCATAATGGAGCCTGGCAATTATGGCCATGCACCGTGTCAATCATAAGGCAGATCATCATGGGATAACCCCGATTTGACAATCTTTTTTTGCAATGATCATTAAGCGAACGCAGCAGTTGTGAGGGGAAAGGAGCAGTTATAAAATGAATACTGTGGTCGTTAAGTGAACTCACTGTTTGCTGAGATGTTTTTTCCCAGAAACCAGAAGAAAATGTTGGCTTCCGGGGAAAATAAATGTAATCGCAGATACGTGATTGTGGAGTGCTGCAAACAGCTGTAAATGAGGGCCAGTTGCTAAGCACCCAAAATGTGTCCATATGACTGCAGTGTGTGTGTGTGTGTGTGTGTGTGTGTGTGTGTGTGTGTGTACGCGCATGATAAACAGTTTTTCAGGGTCTGTCATAACTTTGCACATTAAGCAACTCAACATAATTTGAGGATTTTCTCTTCCCAGTTTATCCTCCATGCCAATATTACAGATGAATGCTAGTTTTAAACTGATGTTGCCATTGTAAGTATTACTGCAATCAAACAGCAGAGAAAGAGAAGTGATTGTGTCATCTTTGAGTGTTCTTACCACAAAAATCAGGAAACACACACACAAAAAATGCGCCTCTTCAGAAATATACAGTATATAAATAAATTTTGAAAAATTCAGTATTTGTAGCTCACTATGGAAATAAGAGCTCTTGATTTTTCCTTTCCAGAGACTAAGTAGTAGTTGTAATTTTAAATGTACAGTATAATTATAGAATTCTTGCCTAAAACATATGAACATTGGCTTTTAAAAAAGGAAGGGGGGTTAGATTTTCTTGTGTTTCTCCCTTGGGGGGAGTGTATACATCACCACACCGTTATTATTTCAAAATGGTTCTCTTAGCAATAGAATAACAAAATAAAAGGATATTTAGATATTGGCTCTAATTAGCATAAATATGGGAAATTATTTATCAAGAAATAATATTTAGCAGTGCCATTTTAAAAAATCTATGAGCCTTTCATTTATGATTTCACATAGTTCATATTTAAATGTTCATAATGGAAATTCCATTTGGCGTGATGGTCATCTTGAAATGGACATTATCTCATTTCAGCTTTTAGAGTGGGGAATCAGAAATATTAGCATTCATTTGTGTAGTTCCAGATACCTAATACAATAATTTTAATTTACGTATTACCTCTATCCACTCTATGCTTTGTTTTATCTTTGTTTAAAGTAAGAATTGTTCTCTTTCCTGCAGAACAAGTAACACATGCTGGAAAGAATCATAAATAATGTTTGGTCAATTCAACCCCAAAGTCTAATTTGCGTGTGTCACATTGGTTAAACTATGTAATTACTAAGGAGCAATCTTACAAGACAAATTTGGAATTAACAGCTAAAAAAACTATTAATTTGTAGCAGAAATAAACATGGCTAATGCTTTCTTATTGCTGAAGAAAACATGGAACTAGTTAAGCTTATCAACATAATACTATATGCATCAAACAGACAAAACTGTACTATAATCGTAAGGAATTCCAGATGTCTTAATGTAAGCAACAGATGGAGTTGCTCTTTTTCTTTCCCACAAACAAAATTTGTCATCTGAAATAAAGTTTGGAGGGGGGAAGAGAACAAGCTGTACATCATGCACTTATGCATGAAGTCAGAATGTCTGGCTAAAATCAGTTACAAATGATGAATTACACATGATGAGAAAGATGGGATGGGAGTGAGAACAAAAATATCACCCCAAATTTAGTTTTCCCTTTCTCTGTAGCATACAATAGATTTTAGTACATAGGCTGGAACAGAACCCGATATAAGGAGGCTATTTTAAGCAGCAGAAACATTTCTATAGATTTTGCATGAATCGATAATTTAAGCCATTTAAGAAAATGATTAAAACCGTGTATGTGTACACATGGATGCACGCACACACACACACACGCACAGGTTTTTAAATCCTTAACATGCTTACCGGGACTGACCAGTTGAGACACTCCATTCCTCTCGCTGTCCAGTACTGCGAGATTTTGATTTGTCTTTGCATACAGAATCAGCATGTTTCAAGGTACGTTTGGCTGGAGGAGATATGTGACTATCGCTCAAACTACCATCACTACCATCATCTCTCTAGAGGGAAAAAAAAAGCAAAAAATTAATAGTTTCATTCATGATATTGTTCAAGATAAACATTCTCCAATTCAGAAAGACGGGGGGGGGGGGGGAATTGGTTTTTTTTCAGATAATAGCAATCATCCTCAGTTGAAAACTATAAATTTAATTCTAGAAAGAATGAGAGAAATCGAGGAATTTGCTGTATCTTTTTTTGAGGATTACATCAGTTTTGAGCTTATTTGTTTGTTTTATATTTATATCTCACAATGATCAAATGCGCCTCTTAGTAATTTATAAGATATATAGAAAATTACTGAAACATCAACAGTTGCCTAATTTTAAAATGTCTAATGTCAATAAAACATAATGGACTCATATGTTGAATCAATATAGGCATTAATGGCTAATTCTACATTATAAATGCACTACAAAATTTTCTTAATGCAATCAGGGAGGGAGCCAATCTGATTTCCACTGGAAGCAGTTCCAAATGCCAACATTTATATTAGCAAGAAATATTTTTACTATTATTGCTTAAATTTATACTTTTTCCCTTCAGTTCTAGGGCAATCAAAGCCACTCATACACCCCAACAATAAAAAACAATTTAAACAAGTAGCTCAAATGAGCAATTAAAATTATTTGAAACATGAATTAATTAAAGAATGCTATAAAGAATATCAAAATTCAGAATGATCACACTAAGCCAATAGAATTTAAATTACAATTGATTTTAGGACATGTTTCCTATATGGAATTTTATGGTGTTAACTCACTATATATTTGACTTTTAATACAATACTGCAAAAGCTAACACAACACATTCTAAACCACATACACTTTACACTTTTTCTAAGTTTCATACTTATGCATAGAGAAGGAGCTCTCCTCAAAAATATCTGATACCCAACTTAGCGTTTGAATGCAGGCAATAAAACAAATGCTCCAGCAGGATGTTCTTATTTCCCTCAGTAAGAATGCATCGCTTTGAACAGTTTGGCTGATGTAAGTCTTGCCCTTGCTAAGTCGTGCAAACACAAGCAGAAAGTCCTTGCCCTGTCTTGATCAGAATCCCCACTCCCATATTTCAGTCACAAGAAACTATGGCTCCCCAGAAATAATTATAGGTAGCCCCCGATTCTCAACCATCCACTGAGCAACTGTTCCAAGTCACAACAGCACTGAAAAAACTGACTTTCAACTGCTCCTCGCATGTATGACCATCACAACATCCCTGTGATCCCATGACCAAAATTTACAACCTTCCCAGATGGCTTCTAACAAAATTAATGGGGCGGGGGGAGCTGGATTTGTTTAATGACCACATGATTCACTTAACAAATGCAGTCATTTGCTTAAAAGTATGGAAAAAAAGGGTGCAAAATTGGCCATGACTCACTTAATAATGCTTAGCAAATTGGGAAGTGTTGATCCCAATTGTAGTTGTAAATCAGGGATTATCTGTAGATCAGGGAGCAAGGTTTCTCTCCATTATGCTCCATATCCTTTATATCACCAGCCCACAAAACGAGTAGAGGAGCTGATCAACACCATTTCTCCACTCCAACACGCTATCACAGGGCCCCTGTGATGACCCAGAGTATATCAGAAATATAACAAAACCCAAAATGTAATTAAAAGTCCTTTAATGCCTTCAACTTGGCTTCACTGTTTAATTGTTCACCGTGGAGGAGTAAACTATTTTCAAAACAACATTTCAAAGGAAAGAAACACAGTTCAAATTCAAAGAGCCGATAACTGCCAACTTCAGGAAGATAACCAGGTAGAACGCCAACCAAGATAAACCTTCTTTAGGAATAAAACACTAATTTGTCTCCAGCGTCTGTCAGTATGCAGGTCCAAACTCTTATGGAAATCTCACACCTGCAACCCGTGAAGACGATCATGGCGCTCTCCTCCCTGCGTGCCCTAGGATGGAAAGGGGATGGGCCTGGGTCCTTCTCTAACTGCTCAGTCAAGTCTCCACCAGGGACATGACAGCCCCTGAAGTACACAAAATGGTGTTTCTGAATGTAACACAGGAAATAAAATTGTACGTGACAGTACAAAACATGCATAAAATAAAGCCCTGTATTTTTTTTACAACAATTATGCAGGATGTTTGTACCACTCTACACGAACCTACAGTAGTTACTATATTCAGAAACTTCAGATATATTCCATACAATAAGAAACAGAGTTCTGGAGGAAAAATAACTAAATATACTTAAAATATTAAATAGTCAATGGTCAAGTCACACCCTACTTTATACATAAAGGTGTGTCTAAACTGTTAATAACATACAAAATGCTGGGATTCAATCTTGTAAGGGTTCTGAGTAATTCGATTCTATGTAGAAACTGAAGCTACACAACTGGTTTGAAACCTGTTTCAGTGGTGTGGGAGAGTTTAACTAGATAAAGCAAGCAAGGCAAAAATATTACAGCATCATTGCCTGAAGTCATTAAGCAATTTTCAATGTAGAGTAATTAACACCAATAATAGTGAGACACAAAGAAGGGGGGCAGATGGGGGGGACCCACTTTCAATAACTTCAAGAGATATTTCTTTTTTATTTCCAGTGACTAGTTTAGGCACTTACCATTCATCTTCTAAAGTCTCCACAAAATAAATAGGGGGAGACTAGGTGTAAAATTGTCAAATTCAATTTAAGTTAAGAACTGAAAGATTTGAACTTGTTTGGGTGAAGTTATCCCAGAAAACTCAGGATCTGTACAATTTTACCCAGGTCAGGCAAATATAGGTTTAATTTTTTTTCTGATTAAGAAAAAAAAATGATTTAGACTTTCCATCCTCACTGCTACCCACCCCTTAAAAACATTACATAGAGAACTATACAGCCCTAGTAAATGTTATTAGAGCTATGATGGGAAAGGGAAATTTTCACAAAAAATATAATTAGGCTGAAGGAAAGGTTATTTCTTGATATCCACCTGAAACAACAATCTACTTCTCCAACTAATAGATGTTCTTCTTCTTTGCTTCCTCTTTTACCATTTGAGAGACCACTTTGGATGGCAAGGAAAATACATGTTACCATTGTAATTAAAACAATAAATGGAAAAGTATGGTATCTTACGCGTCTTTTTCTCCAATACTAATAAAGCAAAATAAGAAAATATTAATAGTCCAAACAATCATGTTCTCCACATATATTAATTAAATGTTTTAGTTAGCTTATGAACGAAGTACATTAGAACAGTCAAATTGTGTATAATTTTAGAGAAATATTTTAAGAAGGGGGGGAGGTCAATGTTTATTTTTAATTAAAAAAACACTGGCCATAAATCCGAAGTAAAACTATATGTGACTGCCTGTTTTTGTTCTCCAAACATATTATTATCTGAGAATAAAATTAAATATATATTATCAGATAATATAAATACATTATCTGAGAATAAAATTAAACTATATCTGGCAATTAAAATAAAACACTCTAAGGAAAAGAATACTAATAAGTATTTTGGAGTCCTCTGTACATTTTCATGCCAGAAATATAAAACGTTGGGCAATATCCATCAAAATAGGCCAATTTGCACAACAGTGTATTTTTCACCCTCCCTCCAAAACCCTGCATGATTCCCAAATTTACTTCAGAAAATTCATAAATCTCCTAAAGCAACTTTGGCAGAACAAAATATATAGAGGAATGCTAGAGGAACACTGTCTCATCACTCACAGATCTGTACAGTGAAATGATACAATTAGGTTAATCCCTGATTTGGACTGAATGAGCTACATCGAATTCCCCCAATTTAACACCAACGAGGTATCTCACAATTACCATCTGTCTTGATGCTCAGTTTATTATTGTTGTTATTGTTATTATTATTCATTTTCCTTTATTATACATCACGTTGATGCTCAGTTCTAAATGTTACTTTTAAATAGGTTATATTTATGTTAAGTATCTTAAATATTTCCAGAACAGAATTCAGTGTGGCCATACTGTACTTGTTGATGCCCTTTGGCAGAGCCAGGTTGGGGATGGTTGCACATCCATCCTTGTGATCCTTGATTACTCAACATCTTTTGAAACCATCAAACACAGTACAGGTAATATTTGTTTAAGAACCACAACTAGAGCCAGCAATCCGGGCATACAGCAAAGCAATCACTAAGTGAAAACACAATTGTGATTCAGTTTTCCTTGTTTTACAGGCTTATGAAGACCTTTAAAGGCCTTTTTCATCATGGATGTAACTGTTGCTAAATGAGGAAACCAGTAAAACAAAACTTAGCGTCCTGGTCTGGGAATTGGATACTCCAAGGCACAGAATTAGATTATGTATTCTAAAGGGACCGTTTTTCTCCCATGGTTTCTGCTTATACAGCAAGAGCTGTCAGAGGTGGCATATTCCAAGTTCCCTTGATTTAAACAATGCCATCTATCAGTATCCACAAAGCATACTATGTCAGCATATACCGGAAAAGCTCAGGAGGCTCTTCAGCCAACATAACATATGTGGACACTTCAAATCTAAGCATACACTAAGGCAGAAGTTTGTCCACCCCGAGGATAAAACGCCCAGGCAGAAACTGAGCAATGTGGTATATGCAGTACAATGCAGTGTGCCATGTGCAGATCTGTACATTGGGGAAATGAAACAACCACTTCATAAATGCATGGCACAACATAGGAGAACAAACACATCAGGACTAGATTCAGCAGTCCCTCTGCATTTAAAAGGCACAGGCCACTCTTTGGACAGAGAGGATCACTGGTTTGAAAGAGGGGTTAAAGAGGCCATTTATATCAAACCTGAACAGCCCCCTCTCAACAGAGGGGGAGGGATATAACATCATCTATCTCCAATCTACAACACTTTCAACACTTTCTTTTCAACAGTTGCAAGAAGGTTCCACATCCATTTGCACCTCTCAGGTAACCCTGATGACACAGATAAACCTCCAGGTGATCTTAACCACTGCTAAAATGCTGTCTGCAAGGAATATAAATCCTTCCATTCCCCACCATCCAGTGAGAGCTGAAGAAACCTCTTGGATAAGAAGCAAAATGTCTTCAAATTGTTTTACAACAGTTTTGCCAAAAATGGGCATTTCTGGTTTTCAGCAAAACCACATCACTTGGTTTACTTAACAAATGCTGAAACCACTTTACAACTGATTCTCTCCCAAAACATATTTGGGACCCCCCCAAAATGGTCACATGCCTGACTTGTTTTATGACAGGTACAATATAAACTGCAATGGGCAGGCTCCATTACAGTCATATGCTGAGGACTACTTGTATGTAGTGCATTGATAGGACAGATGTTTACCTTGCTTATCACTGAGTTTAATGTTTTTGTTGTTGATGATTAATATTGTGAGCAGACTAGAAATGTTTTGGAGTCAAGTGACACCTAAATCTAATAAAATTAATAATAATAATAATAATAATTATTATTATTATTATTATTATTATTATTATTATTATTATTATTATTATTGTTATTATTATTATTATTACTACTACTACTACTACTACTACTACTACTACTACTACTACTACTACTTATGTGGTTTCTCCTAAAAACATTCTCAAAATTTTAGTTATGTGAGTGCCTTTAACTAAAAATTTTATTCAGATGCTCTCTTACCAAATTTAGAAATGCCCAGTTTACAATAAGTTTAAATGAGATACAACTGAGAAAATATGGAACAATATTTTCATTAACTGAATACAGAATACAAATTTTATCAAGGTACCGTACAAAGTATATAAATAGTCAAATCTGCAGCATAGCTAAATAAAATCACTATGAAACAAATTAAATCAACTCAATATTAACTCTATACAATTCTACATTAATATAGAAGACAGTTTAAAGCAGATATTCCCAATAATGGATTCTTAATAAAGCCTTCTGCCCCATAGTAACATACTATCCCCCAAGTAACATACTTTAATTACAAACATGAGGAAAAAACTTGCAGTTAGAAAGTTGGAGAGCTCCACCCTGCAGCCACCTAAACTCCTATTTTCCAGTGCAAAGAATGACTCTCTCACTCACTCACTCACTTTTGGTTCCAAAACATTTTTTCAAGGCAAGATAGTGGATAATTGCAGAGCACATAAGTTTAAATTAGGAAGGGAGGGTGGAGAGTAACCTGGAGAGACTGGAAATACAGCAATCTATTGAGGACAACAAGGAGTCTAAAGGATGCGGGGAGGGGAGAAGGGGTGAGGAGGAGGAGGAGCAGATATATAAACCAAATGCTTACAATGTTTTTAGATTGGCCACTGAAGAGATGTGGTTAATTTATCTTGATATAACCAGCTCTATTTTCAAAATCCCCGAACTTCCTAAGCCTGCCAAGAGATGCCTACAAGTAAATCTATAACCTCATTTAAAATTTACACTGGAAAGTGCTTTCATACTTTTAAATCAAGATTTTCTGGAACTCTTGCAAAGAACATACATACGTTAGATTGCACGTACAATTTTTCAGTAGTACTAAGTAAGAATTGCTAATTGTCCAAGGAGCAATAATTTACAAAGCATCATTATATTTATTACTATAACAATTTTTATGTTTCCATCATAGATAACAAAAGATATGCATTCTTACTTATAAACAGAATGACTATTTGAGCTAAACAAAGTTACTATGAGAATGCTTCAAATTTTATCTGACACTTTACAGCAAGGGTACATATCTCTTTTAGGTTGAAAGATGCACAACTGTATTTTTTCTTCTTCCCTTTAATCATGTCCAATTCCTGCCTTGGGCATAAAACCAGATGGGTGACCTTGAACAAGTCACTTTCTCTCAGCCCTACAGAGGAGACAATGGCAAACCACTTCCAAAAAACCTTGCCAAGAAACAGCACAGGTTGTCTAGGCAGTTTCTGAGAATCAAACAGGTCTAAACAGAAGGGGGAAAAATGGAATGAAACTAAGGACCCTCTATCAGGCCAGAGTAAAGAATATTCTAGGCATCGAAGGGATAAACTTACTCAGATTTAGACTGAATGGGCAGATCCAGTTAATGTGAGAGGTTTTTCTTGGTTACATGGCAGGAGCTCAATCCTGTCACACCAGAGAAAATGGACAGAACGCCCGGAACTGTTAAGATGGTCACCTGTTAGTTAGTCTTTGCCTACCCTGGTTTTATGAAATTGGCTTAGGAATTAAACAGCCGGGTCCATGATGTGGTATTGACTTCTCTGAAAGATTAAGTGGTCCCACCTGCCTTTTAAGTAATCATGCACTTTTCCTTCAAGAACTGATCACTGAACTCAATCATTCTGGATAATATTGATCCAGTTTTCAATCTTCATCTTTTGGGGAAGGTCATTGAATAGTGGTAAAACTGCAGCAGCTATAGGTGGTCTTGGTTTTAACAAATTATCTGGATCCTTTCCAAGTCTGGGTCCATTGACTGTTTATGACCTATGACAGAAGTGAGGTAGGAGTGGCGCAACAACAGTGGGCTTCTTAGATCTCTCAGCAGTTCTCATCCTTGGACCATGGTATGCTTGAATCAGTTGAAAAGAGTGAGAATTGGACCAAAATAATATCATAGTTCTCCTCTGTGCCCAGTTGTAGTTAGTGTTAGTAATACAGAGACTAGAGCCCCCAATTTGTGAGGTGCCTCAAAGATCAGTCCTCTCACCCCTACTGTTTAACATCTATACAAGGTCATCAAGAGGGATGTGAAGTCGGGTATTACCTTTACATTGATGATATTGATTATACAAGTCAATTCCTAGACTATTAAGCAATGATGCTCTAAAAATTTCAAAAATAAAAATCAATTGATCAATTAGTATGCAATGCATCTATCCCATTACTTTTTAAGCTCCAAATCTTATTTCCATGGTGCAATATCAGAATATTCATGGCTAGATTATGAAATATCACATGCAATGTGGTATGTACTTTTTAAAGTTTAGAAATAATTGCAGTACTTTTGTGTATAACAGCTTTTAGCCAAATGTATTGGACAAGTGAGTTAGTTTGGGGCACTACTTTTTCCAAACCATTGCCAAAATACCCTTAAGATTTTCCAGGAAATCAACAACAAAAGCATATCCTCACTGTTGCCTAGGTCTGTGTGGAAGTTGCAGGCACACTGGCCCCTCTTTATAACACACAAGATAGCTTTTAAATTCTCTCAGTGCTCTGCAAGATTGAAACAGCACATGAATTCAATATGTGAATGACAACTATGATTCACACTATTAACATACACATGAAAACAAAATTAAAAACAGCTATTTCTAAAAATCCATGAAGTAATCACTTATCCTGCTTTTCATCAAGGTAAAGAAATGAGACCTGCATCCAAAAATGTAAAACATTCAGTTAAAATATATAAAATAATCTGAAACATTGGATTATCACATTCACTTGTAAGTCTATGTATTTATTTTAAACACAGACTGAAAAGCATTCAGGTAGTCCTTGACTTAACAGTTCATTTAGTGACCATTCAAAGTTACAACAGCGCTAACCGTTTTTCACACTTAGGACCACTGCAATATCTCCATGGTCACGTGATCAAAATTCAGATGCTTGTCAACTGACTGGTGTTTATGGCAGTTGCCATGTCCCAGGGTCATGCGATCACTTGTTGTGACCTTCTGCCAAGGAATGTCTGTGGGGAAGCTAGCTTCATTTATCATGTTACTCACTTAACTGCGGTGATTCAGTTAACAACTGCGGCAACGAAAGTCGTAAAATGGGCCCAAACTCACTTAATAACTGTCTCACTTAGGCAACAGAAATTTGGACTCAATTGTGATAGCATTGATATGGGGGGGGGGGGAATTCCAAAGATAACAGTGTTTGTGGGGAGGGGGGAGAGGAACGCTCTTCAAAATTGCTTAAAGTTGGTGCAGTTTTAAGTCACTTGTGTTTTTCTTTGAAGTGGCACTTCCACTTTCAACCAGAGAGGGAGCTCTGCTCCAAACCCAGCTTGCTGCCCGGCACAAGAGACACAGAAATGTGGGTGAAAGAGAGAGAAACCCACACATTTTCTTGCAGCGCTGCCTTGCCAATTGTCCAAAGCCAGACAAATCCCCCCCCCTTTTGCGCAAGCCTCTCCCCTCCGCCCGCACTCTTCGCCCGCGCCAGGCCGTCCCTTCGCGTCTCCCCCTCCCCACTTGCAACGACCGCCTGCTTCTTTTTCGGCTATAACGCTCCAGGCTCTTCTTAAGTCGCCCTACCTCAAATGACCTCCCTCGCAATCGCAGCCCGCCTCCCTCCTCTCTTTTTTTTTTTCTCCCCCCCCTCCCCCTCCCCCCCCTCTCTCGCCGCTCACGTCTCCCTCTTGCAAACATTCCCCAGCCGCCAAACGGCGCTTCTCTCGCCACAACCACCAGCCGCTCTTCCCCAGGGCGTCCTTCCCAAAAATCAGACACCCACCCCACCCCCACCCCACCCTTACTCACCCTTTGCAAGCCCCTCATCCACAGCGCCTTTTCCCCGCTCCGCTCACCCCAGAGTTCAAGCAGGAGCCCCCCCCCCCCCCCCCCCCCCGCCGTCCCCCCGCCGGGCTCTTCGGCCTCCCTCCCAACCCCCCCCCCCCCGGCTTGTCCCGCTTTTGGCTCCCGCCGAGCCCATCCTCTTTCTAGCCCGGGTTCCTCCTCGTCGCCCCCTCCTCCTCGGCTTACCCGGACCGAGTCCTCATCCTGACTGGCCGCCGCTGCTGCCGCCGCCGCGGCTGCCGCTGCCGCTGCTTTAGCACTAGTCCTAGACAAGCGGGTCCTGGATGAGATGAAATGGCTGCCGGACCCCGGGACCACCGTCGCCGTCGCCGCCGCCGCCGCCGCCGCTTTCCCGGAGAGACGCTGAGATTGGGAGCTCTTTCGGGTGTTCACCATGGCCTCACTGCAGCCACCCCGGGAAGGGCGGCGCTGCCGCTGACTCCACCGCCTCTTGCTGTGAGGAGCGACGCCGCCGAGCCAAAGAACAAGGGCCCCAAGCCGCGGAGCGCTCCTCCTTCTCAGCTCAGTCACCCACCACTAACTGGCCGCCATTACTCGTTCTCTCGTCCCTTTCTCTCCTCGGTCACGGCGAAGCCTCCCGCCTCCACTGCGAGGCGCTGCTCCGCCGCCGCCTCTCATAGGGCCGCCTCTTCTTCCACCTCCTCCCTACACCTGGCAACATAGAGCTGGAAAATGATGAGAGCGTGACATGCAGCCAGAACTTCCGGTGAGGATTGAAAGCCGTCATAGGCCAGGAGTGTCTATGAGCCCCGGTGGTGCCTCTAGCATCTATCAACTCTATGGTGGAGGTTCTCTTCTGTACTGTACTACTTTTTACAGCGGCAGCCAAGTGGGGTTGGGGGTGGTGGGGGGAACAGTCAAGTTTTATGCCGGAAGTGCCTGTAGGGAACGCTTTGATGTTTACTATGCGTGATGCAGTACATGCGGCGCTCTGCAATGGCGTGCTCTGTGATTGTTTTAGACGGGGCGGGATTAATGACAGGAGAGGGAGGCGGGAGGAAGGAGCCTCTTGGGACTGAAGGAAACTATAGAAACTGGGTTTGAGAAACGGTAGCTAACTGTGATTCCGTATTTGCTTTTTTTCAGAATGGAGAAAGTGGAGAATCTGATTAAAAAGAATTTCTTCTTAGAAAAGCACGTTTTAATCCATAAATAATGGAAACCTGTTCACACGTTTCATTCCATTGATTCTTCCATAAGGATTGTCACCTGGAGAGTAGCGATAGTTTATAGCTCGAAGTTTGTGCTTGCTAAAAAAAACCCTGAAGTAATGCATTGCGCTCCCCGAAATTTACTGACAAAACTCTGCCTATAAAACTCCAGTTGAATATATTTTGTTTTCCCAACTTAAATGGATACCTTATACAAAATGGTTAGAGGGGCAAATACTATTGAGAATATATAATCATACATATATTCATGTGCTGAATCTTGGAGGTGATAACTAATACCTTGAATTGCATCCATAAGATAATTAGAAAATCTGAAGTCACCCACATTTTGGACCTGTAGTTTCTAAATTGCTTTCAATGACATAGAACACATTGAAGCAGTTTGGAAACCTTACCATTCCAGGAACAGTTGTAAATGACAGACCTGATGGAAAAGTCTTTCTAATCACAGCTACCACCTGCTCATTGAACAAAAGCTGTGAATCTAGGAGGATCACAATGTTACTAACCAAGGACCACGAGCCCATCTTGAATTCATGTCTGGAATGGGATGGTTTCTGAAACCAAAACCACTCCATCGTGCTTGGATTATATCTGAACCTTTCTTATCCAACCCAACCCAAATTAGTCATCAGACCTCTGGCAATCCCTCAATGTCAACAGCTATTTGCTGTAATGCCAAAGATGCATTATTAAGTATCATCAGTTGTGCTAAACAATAACCTCATTCAGTGCCTTCAAATCTGAGTGAAACAGAGTGAGGAGAGCATTTGGCTCTGCCGCATTATACAGCTAAGAACATTGGGTCTGATCTCTACCACTGCTTGTTTATTTAGAGGCAGAACTAGTGAACAGTAGTGCCACCTACTTCCAACTTTTACAGACTGTCCAAAACAATACAATACATATACAGGTAGGCCTCGACTTATGATCACAATTGAGCCCAAAATTTATGTAGCGAAGCAAGACCGTTAAATGAGGTGATCAAATGAACCCAGAATAAACCTTCATAAACACATTCCAGTTGCCAAGGGGCCAAATTTCAATCATATGACCATGGGGGTGCTTGCAACAGTTGTAAATGTGAAAAACGGTCATAAATCATCCAAGTGCTGCTGTAATTTCAAATGGTCACTAAATGAATGGTTTGTAAGTTGAGGACTACCTGTATGCATCACTCTTGTGTGTATACACAGATAATTCATTTCTGGCAAGGTATGCTGCAGTTGCAGAATTGGTCCTGGAAGAATCCTATAAAAGTGGTCATAGCTGCAGTAAACTTTAGTTCCTCTGCCAGAATCTCTTAAAAGTTCCTTCTATTCTCTCTCTCTTTCTCCATATATGTATATGGAGAGCCCAAAATTTATGTTGCTAAGTGAAACATTTGTTAAGTTAGTTTGTTCCATTTTACAACTTTACTTGCCACATTTGTTAAGTGAATCACTGCAGTGGTTAAATTAGTAACACGGTTAATTGTAGTTTCCCCATTGACTTCGCTTGTCAGAAGGTCACAAAAGCTGATCACATGACCCTGGGACACTGCAGCTGTCATAAATGTGAATCAGTTGTCAAGCATCCAAATGCAAATCACGTGACCATGGAGAGCTGCAACAGTCATAAGTATGAAAAAGGTCATAAATCACTTTTTTCTGTGCCACTGTAATTTTGAACAGTCACTAAGTGAACTGTTGTAAGTCAAGAATCACTGAACACATTTTTGAAAATTAGTCACATTCAATAAATTTATTCTAAATCCAATCAAAAGTGATAAACATTGCCAATTCTGTTTCTACAGTTGAAATATGTTTTCTAAGAAAAATATGGCAAATAGCTGAACATTCCCAACCATAAAAGATTGGAGGACCAAATCTAGCTCTTTCTTTTCCTTCTTTCTTTTTGCTGGAAGTTTGGTTTTCCCTAAATTGTTTTTTCTAAGCTGTTTGCCCCCCTCCCTTTTTATGTGGGCCCCCCTCCCTTTTTATGTGGGCTCTATTATTTATTTATGCATACTTTCCCTGGTCAATGTAGTCTTCCCAAGGCAATTTGTAATACAGTACTGTATCAGCAATATTGCAACATGAAAAGTTCATAAGTTATCTTCAAGAGAATACATTTCTATTTTTCTATTCAGAAAGATTTCAAAAATAAGCAAGTAAAGCCAATTTAACCTATATGGTATGTTATTGTATAATGTCATTGAAAAGTATCTCATGAGAGAAAATAGAGAACATTACTCAGTTGATGCTTTCGCTATGCAGAAAGTCCTTGGGTTTGTTCTTTGAGAACTCATATAGACACTACCGCATTTAGTGTGCTGAATATACTTTCAGTTAATCCTTGAAAGGACCTCTGGAAGCAATTCCTTCATTGCTCTTCGTGTGTGTGTGTGTGTGTGTGTGTGTGTGTGTGTATCATCCATCTCACTTGCTTCTCTGAAAACAATGGTACTACACAGAAACTTATTAAGCGTTACAGAATTACCAAATGAAATATAATATCCTTGGCCAGAGTTTTTATTTATTTGTATTACTGTATCCTGCTTTTATTATTTTATAAATAACTGAGGTAGCAAACATATCAAAAATACCTTTCTCTGCTTATTTTCCCCACAACAACCACCCCGTGAGGTGAGTTGGGCTGAGAGTGTGTGACTGGCCCAAAGTCACCCAGCTGGCTTTCATGGCTAAGGTGGGACTTCAACTCATTGTCTCCCTCTTTTTAGCCTGTTGGAAGTCATCTGCGTATTTTCATTTTCTTTCTCCCACCATAGCCCCGAGTACCTCTTCCTTAATACAGGTAGCCCACAAGTTACAGCAGTTTACTTAGTGACTGTTCAAAGTTACAGTGGTACTGAAAAAAGTGACGTGACCATTTTTCACACTTATGACCGTTGCAGCATCCTCATGGTCACATGATTTACATTTGGATGCTTGACAACTGACTCACATTTATGATGGTTGCAGTGTCCCAAGGTCATGTGATCCCCTTTTGTGACCTTCTGACAAGCGAAGTCAATGGAGAAAACAGATTCACTTAACAGCGTTACTAATTTAACCACTGCAGTGATTCACTTAACAAATGTGGCAAGAAAAGTTGTAAAATGGGACAAAACTCAAATTTCTTACTTAACATTAATTTGGGGTTCAGTTGTGGTCACAAGTCAAGGACTATCTATATTATGGAAGTTTTTCCAAAAAGGGACATAGGGAAAGAAAGACAGGAGACTGTAAAAAGAAGTTTCTTTTCTGTTAAGCCAGTCTTTGCTGGAAACATTCCCCTATCAATAATGGGAAGACTTTCTCACCTATAGAAAGCTTTTGTTGGTTTCTTGACATTACCATCACTTTTCTGTCCCCTTTTCAACTTATACTATGTCCCTTTTTCATCCATACTGTACTGACCTAGGAACATGATTACGAAACGTTTTTGAGAATAAAAATCAGTTTTTAGACATTGGTGACACTATCAGTGCAGTGTTACTTAGCTCTGTGGATGCAAGACAGTAAAGGTCAGACAAGTCACTGCACATTAATGAAGCCATCTGCTTAATGTTAATTTTCTCTTGCACAGAGATATTTCAGTCATTTGCATTACTCTTCTTCTCTGTCATTCTCTTTGTTTTTTGAACCTTAGTCACATGAAATATGTTCTGCAAAAACTAGTAGTATGTATTGAAAAAATGCCCAGAGGGATTAGAATCCCTAAAAGAGCATTATGAACATATGGGGAAAGGAGGTATCATTTTTCTAAGCAGCTTTGAAACTGTTAACCATTGGTTAATATTTGTCCAGTTTGCATTTTATTTCAAAACAAATACGTGTTTAAATTTCAAGTTGGAAAATTACTTCTTCTTGTGTCAGATTTTCATTATTTTCTATAACTGCAATGTAAATGTTTATCAGTTCTTTGTTAGAATCCTTTTGTTAGAAAATACTGTATTCATTCTACCATTTGTGGTAGTAATTCTGCAAAGTTGCTATTTGACCAGCACAGGGGACTGAAACAGATGTTGGGAAAGGATTTTTTAAATGAGGATTAAGGAACCAAACATTCTGCTTATTGATATTTCCCTTCATAAACCTTGCAAAATTGCTGAATACCTGTTTTAATAAGGAGACTAATTGTTCTGAAAAACCTGAGACTTCCTCCACATACCTCAAGGGATATACTCATTTCCCTACCCAGTTAATCAAGGATGATGTAACTTAGTCCTGGGTGAAAAGAAACAACAGAAGGTCTGGCTGAGTTACGGAATACAACAAAGTTACCAGCTTGAAAAATAAATCTTGGTCTCCAGAATATAGGGCTCCTGAGAAACAGATGTTTGAAGCTAGGTTCCACAATTACATTTATTATTTATGTTTGTAAATAAACTCAGTAAATGTTACTCAACTTCCAATGACAATATGCTATCTTCAGGATTTTTTTATCTTTAAAGAAAATATTGTAACAAGATGCTTCTTTGTGGCTAATGGACATATTGATTTCATGAAACAGTGAATCTGGGATCACAA